TTCAATCTCTTCTCTTCTTCTTTCTTTCTTTCCCTTCTCTATTTCTTGCTTCCTTTCTCTTTCCTTTGTATTATTTTATTATTTTATATATAATATTATAGATTTTTATTTATGTGAATAGTCCATCTTCCTTATCACTCATCTATGCATTTGTTTATTGCTTCATCTATGTTTTACGCTATCTACACTTTTTTCTGTATCTATGACTCACTTACGCCGCGAAGGGTACCAACCGCGAATTTGCTACTTACAATTAGTTGAAAAATTATCGTCGCAAGTTTGTCCCCCTGATCATTTCATATTTTTGGTAACCGAAACGGACATCGGGAGTGCCGGACGAGCGTTTCTTCGCGTTATTTATTATTTCGAGTATATCGCGCGCGCGATAAATGTTTCGGAACGACGCGTAAAGTGACAGACGAGTGTCGGATCGCGATAAATGTCACCTACCTTGCGTACAAATGCATATATACACTTCGAATTAAATCGTAGTAGTGTGCGAGTGTGTGTGAGGAACAACGACAATGGCGAGGAACTAATATACTGTGTCCCTGGCGAAATGTTGCGGCCATAAACGAAGAAAAGCAAGCAAAATACATAGCTTTAGAAGAGGAGAGTGGCGGATATGAATAAGGTAAGGTGTATTTTCGAGATATATAAGTTAGCCTCGCGCGGGCGCGATAAAAGCCACTCTAAATAAAGCGGTGTTGTATGGCGATCGCATATACGAGCCGATATAAAATTCGGGGGATGGAACGTCAGCGGCGACGACGACGACGACGTCATCGACGTCGAACATATTCTATCAGTCTGATAGCTCTCGATGGGATACCCGAAGGCGGAAGGTTTGATATCTAATATCGCCCGTGCACCTTTATGTCGTCGGTATCGGTTTATGTTGCCCGTGTATCTTCGCTTCCCTCAACATCGGGCTAAACTTTCCGCACGTAAGTGGTGCGTCGTGCGATAATAAAAAACAGGAGAGAGTAAGTATAAGAATAAGTGTCATTTTCTTAAAAAAAAAAAAAAAAAGAATTTTTTAATTTGTCTATGATAAAACATTCTCAAAAATATTAAAATTACAGGTGAAAACATGGCATATGCACGAGGGTGGAACGAGGAATCGCTTTTTTCTTCTCGGGAATGATTTCCAGTTGTGGGGCTACCTGTGAAAGACGACGGGCTATTTAACATTCCGCCTCATTTCCCGCCATTTCGCCTTCCCGGCTCCGCTGTCTTCGTCGTCGTCGTCCGTCGTGTTCCGAGGAAACGTTCGCGCTCGATGCGAAAATTGCCTCGCCAAGAATTATTGACTATAAATTACTCGTCTCGCTACACCCTTAGTTCCGGGCGTTCTCCACCGTTACTCATGCCAATGACGGCGGAGCCCGTGGGCTCCGAACGCAGCGCTCGCCACTTACTTACCGTTACACGGAGATCTCCGGGAGACGAGCAAGGAAGAAGTGAGAAAGGGAAAGAGAGAGAAAGAGAGGCGTCCGGTTCCGATATCGGAACGGGGAGGACGAAGCGCGAATTGCCGCGAATTTACATTTTATTGCGCGCGCCCGAAGACGACTGCCGGGCTCTCTTTTCACTCTTCCCGGATCTTTATTCGTTTCCTATTTACTACGACGTTGCCGACAACATAGACGCATACTTGTATACGTCGCCGACACGTATTGTTATTCGAAACGCGCGAAAACGGCCCTCGATCTTCAAAGACGTCGATTAAAATATAATTAACAGGTGGAGAGGGTGGACATTTTCTGCAACGTTTTTATAAGAAAGAAAATATTCTCCGGTATTTGTTTCGCTAGTAAAAGTAAAATAATCGTCGATATTTATTTTTTTTTTTTTTTTTTTTTTAATGCGGTGGATAAATAGCCGAGATAAATAAATAAATTTGGATCTATTGTTCCGTTTATGGCGAAAAAGGAGGCGCACGTCCGTCACGGCGGATCGCGTCGCATCGCGGCCGGTCGCCGGCTATATGCGGTATAGCCGGAGCTAAATTGAATTTTTTCAATTCATTCCACTTCGCGCGCGGCCGAGACGTTGGTATAGTCAATTGGTATCTGTGCGCGACAGCCACACCTATTCGCAGTAATTCTCATTATTTTTAAATTGGAAATGAGAAGTGTGCCCGCGAGAGAGAGAGAGAGAGAGAGAGAGGGAGGGGAAGAGGAAAAGTGTGAGAGAGAGAGTGCGGTCGAGCACCTTCGTCGCGTCGCGCCACGTCGCAACGGGTTGCATTATTCCACGCCGATGCCTATACCGGCGAAGGAAGAGACGCAGAAATTAATTTAATTACGAGCCGGGGTGTCGATAGCAATCACCGTTCCTTCCGGTAAAGAGCGAGTAAAAAGGGCGAAGTTTTTCGAGAGCTTTGACCTACGTGTTATTTTTCCTTAGCGGAAATTCTGCGAAAAAGCTCCTTATCCGGCAATCTGCTCATTCAAGCTAAAAATAATAATAAAAAAACACGAGACATTGATAAAATTATTGTTGATTATATTGAAGCTTAATTTGCGAAGCTTCATTTAATTTATTATTTTAGACTTGTTTTTGAATGCTAAAGAAATTGATTCTCTATAATGTGTACGCGCTAAAATATATTTAATGTAAAAAATGGAGTATACGTACACAGAGAGAATTTTCTCTTAGAATTTATTCGAAAATCATGGTAATCGTAGGACAATATGGTATTAGAATTTATAAAAGAAATATAATATTTATCACAATAAGATTGTTTGATTAACTTTACTATATATATAGTAAATTTATTTTGTACATATTATATTTTTTTTATTTGTGGTAAATATTAATCAGAAAAACTCTTATAAAAGTCTTCAATACCATATTGTCCCACGATTATCATAATTTTCAGGATAAATTCTAAGAAAATATTTTCTCCGTGCATATACGACACAAATATGAAGCAAAAAAGCAATCTTTATTTGAAGAAGGTAAGTCTGACGACTGTACATCTTTAAAATAAAAAACGATTATACAAAGTTCTATTTTCGGTTTAAAATAGTGTAGAAAAAAAAGATACTTTGATGTGATGTTTTTCGACTTCGAGTAAAACTCATTTATTAATTGGAGCCAAGATACAGTCTGTAGCCGAGGCAGTACTCTTACAATTATAAGATAATATCTAATATCTTTGAAAAATAAAAATTTAACTAGATTGTTAATAGTAGTATAAATCGAGAGTATTAGGTATTTCGTCGCACTTAAAGTATATACTTTTTTTCGTTTATAATATTGAATTTAATAGCGCATCATAATACTTACATGAATCGAAAATCATATATGATCATATTTTTCGAAGCCTTTTTAAAGAATATAGGTAATATTATAGCTCTTTAAAAGGAACATGATTCGTTTGACAAAAGTATCGACCTTGAGGAATAGCTGTATGAAAAAAATCTCTCATTTTTATACGTGCCTTGTCATTTTCATCTAATTAGTGACTAAAAAAATTATACGTTAGTGTACAAAACTAATTAAATATGTAGTAAAAGAGATATCTGTTATATTTCTATTTGTGAACATCTAAAGGGACTTTAAAATGTATACACATTCCGATTATCTCTCTCCAGCCCAATCGATAATCTTTAGCATCGTAGATTTTGTTTGAAATTAATTAATATCGTCTGTGTATGTGTATATTATATATATATATATATATATATATATATATATATGTATATATTATATTGTATATATTTATTTATTTATTTATTATTTATTTATTTTATTTATATATATATGTTTGTGTAGGTGAGCTATATATATTTACCTGATAATTTATATATAGCTGTACATTCTATAATTCTACAATTTTGTTGTACACTATTTACTTATATGATATATTATTTAATCAGATATAATAAGAACAATGAACACAATTTTGCTTTCATTCCAGCAGAAAATTTGATATAATAGGAATAAATATAGGCTAGAAAGAGTTAAAATTTACTTTAGAGTGTTTTCTGGATTTCGAGACCATAGCACATAAAAAAAATATAAGCAGCAAGCAAATCGATTAATTACAGTCGAACATCTTCAATCTCCATATCATTCTCGAGGTTTTTTTCTTTACATACTATGGCCTATATAAAATAGATGATATACTATCATCAGAAATATGACTAATTCTTTGATAAATAATGAGAAATTGTCTCAATAAATATATAATCTTTGTGCAACAAATGTTTCAAATATATTACTGCAACATTTAAATAATAATATAATTTCTATCTTCTCTGTAACTATAACTCACATTAAACTACCTATTCTATCATTATAGCAGTAGACGATTTTTTTCACTGAAAGTACAGGTTTCTTTCCTAATTTGTGTACCGACATTCGTAATTCGGGCATTAACAAATCTCCGCTGCTTAGGATACTTTATATTTTATTTTGAATGTATCTTATCTACCATTGAACTGCTTACATACTGAGTGTCGGGTATCCGAGGAATAATAATTCTAGACATAGGATAGTGAAACGTCTGTCAGAGTTAGCAGTTTAGCTAAAACAGGATCATAATTCAATATCATCTCTAATCTGCGCACTCTCACAAACGTATTACAAATTCAGCATCAATATGGATTTCAACTACAGTTCGTACATCTCGACGAACGAGCTCGCGCTCTTTTGTACTAATAATCGATAGTGAAGACATCCCGTGATAAAGAGTGTAATGGGACAACGGATTTTCTATACGTGTATTATATTGTCCAAGGGAAATTATATCATGAGCTCGAATCAATTCGAAAAATGCAATTCTAATTAATCTTCTGCGGGCATATTAAGTATACGAGTGATTAGTACCATTAACATCGACTATACAATTATTGCTATGGAAGCAGTACGACGATTCAGAGCCCCGATAAATTCAAATGAACTTATCACATATGTATATGTATGTGTGTATATACAATATATATATAAACATATACATATGATACATATGATCAAATATATATATATATATTTTATATTGTCTTTAATTAATCTAAACTATATATATAGTGTTAAAATTACAATAGTAGATTTCACGTCACTTTAATGTAATGTAAATTCAGTTGAATTTATCATCGGCATTGAAATAGCGTAACTCATAATACATTGTTATATAAACAGCTTATAACGCAGAATCTGTTCTACAGTATCTATCTCTCTTTATATATACATAGCATACTAGCGATACTACAATCGATAACAACTAATACATTCTTATCAGTGTGGCGAGTGCAGCAGCTATTGCAATCTGCGCAACCCGCCATTCTGGATAAAATATATTTCATTGCATTCAACTTTTATCCATACTTTTCTCTCACCAAAAAATTAACTAAATTTATTGTCAATACATTCGGAATGGTGTCGCTGTGCCGTCTTGCCTGCGTTCATAACTTTCTTAAAAGTATATGCATAAAATCGTTTCTATCGAGTCTAACAAATCTCCCTTTTACACTCGATGAACTTGTAAGAATCGCATTGGTCACATTTTATTTTACTCCTTAACGTGTATGTATATATATATATATATATATATATATATATATATATATATATATATATATTTACGAAATGATCTACGATCGCGTACTGATAAATACTTAGATACAAGTCAGCTTACAATGTACACGATTATAAAATTTACATCGCGGAATAAGAATTATTAGTCAATAAACAATTCTTTTCTACAATATGTTTACTACATTGCAAATTTTAGTTGCATTGTTAATATATCATATGAGTAACCGTGTGTGTATATTTTATTTCAATATATCCTCTTTCTTATATAACACATATATAATATTAATCTAAGAACTCATATATAATATATATGTATGTACTATTTTTAGAGGATTTAAAAACTAATGCGATTCTTAGCATTCATTCGATTCTACATATTCAGAAGTGCTTAAACTTTGCAACAATGTGGCATTCACATAAATACTTATTGGCAATTCTTTGCTGAGAAGCAAACAAGGCAAGGCGCCATTAAAAACGTTCACAGGACGTCCGAATGAATTAACGAGTGCCACCGGTTAAAAGACGAATTATTACATAATTGCTTATATTGACTCGTATATACTCTCTCAATCATCTTTTTGCATAAGTACTTTATATTTTATATAAGTATAATTATACGTGTACGTTGTGTCGTACAACATCCGCGCAAACTCATCACAAAACCGTAACTCCCATAATCTCGCCGACGTCCCTCTTTTATTCATCCATACGCAAAGATCTATAATTACATATTTGAGAAATCACCGCTATAATTATTCGTTTTGAAATATATTTTTTTTCGCGCTTATTTTTTTCTTGTTATAGAATGTGCGTGTGTACCGTGTGCGTCGCACAGGTGATCGCATATGAGATGTACATATAATATAATATATATCCCCTTATCCCTTTCATTTGTGTAGATGTTTCTCGTGTGTGCGTGTGTGAGGATCGTAATACGCGTCTAATTTTTAGTTTCTTAATACGACAAAACTCATAGACGAGAAACGTGAACGCTAAATAATAATTAAAGAAACGTGTGCCATTTCACCGGGCTCGAACCGAATTACGTCCTCATAGCTGGTACCATTTCTTGTCTTTGCACTTGAGCATCAATCCGTGAGCGCTCTGCGAAAAGTTTTCAGCCTCCGACATCATGCGCGCGGTTCGTTCCTCGAGCTGCGACAGCTTCTCACCGCGTTCCACAACCATTTGATGTGCCAGATTTACTTCTCCCGTTGCGCTAGAGACTCGCTCTCGGAGAGCCTCGTTTGGTCCTGGAATGTGTTTCGCCACTGTGCGCGATGCACGACCGCTAGATTCCCCGACTATAATCGGTATTGATATAGACATTAATATCGGATATCGCTTTTTTTATTTAAAAAAAAAAAATTTTAAATATCCACTTACACAACTCCTCTCGATCGAGACTTCTCGAACCAACACTGAATAAACCTTTAAAGAAACCTTCTTTAGGCGGTTCTGGCATATCGTGACCAATAAACAGATCACCCATCATCTCCGTCAATTCAGCACTAAAAGAGATTTTTAAAAAGTCATTATTAATTGATAAACTAAATTATATGAAAATTAATTATTAATTATTAAATCAAATATTCAACATTCAAAGAAAAAGAAAATATCAATATTAAAAGTAGTAATTTTCTATTATAAAATAAAAGTAAAACAGATATATAAAACAATACCAGAATTCACTCGAAACGGAGAACTTCTGAATTTCCATAGGTGAAGAAAGATATAAACCATGGCCTCGATTGCTGAAGCAAAGCGTCTTTGAGATCCTGCAAAAAAATGCATAAACAAGCTTTACTGCAATGCGTTATTTCATAACTAATATATATTATATGAAAAAGGGCAATATCAGGGTACAACTGTAAAAGAGTGTCGAGTGTGCGGTTTTGTACATAGCACAAAGCTCTGGTAGGCAATAAAAACAACCAGTTAGTTAGTTGAGGGTTTAAATCACGTGAGGAACGTTTTCCTATGTATGTGAAACTAATATGAAGCTGGTGGTAAAATTATGAAATCGAAAAAAAATAGTATATATTGCACGCAAGGCACATTGTGTGTTGTGTAAAGGTTTTACATATGGTGAGCTGTATTTCATAGATGACTTACTGATCGGTATCGCCATTAACAAAGAGTTGATGACCCCATATGCTCAACATGGGGTCTACAATGCCGTGTTTTGTAGTCTGAAAACTGTTAGAGATTACAGAGACAGGAGGAAAGTGAGCGCTCGACCATACACGGATTAATATAAAATTTACGTTATATTACTTTTTTATGTTATTATAATTAGCATTAACCCTTAAAACACAGCTAGCCCAATTATTTTTCAACATGAGTATGTTTACACGAATATATTTTATTTTTTTGTATATGTATAGAAAAATTTGTAAGTGAAAAAGACGAGAAAATGATAAATGTTGCCTGAAAGTCCGTATAGTGTAGTGCCAGATTTTGCTAAATAGAAATCGTAAATATATGAATAAAGATATTTTCAAGTAGAAAGATTAGAACTTGCATAGATGAAGAATTGCCATAAAAAAGCCAATTTTATATATCGCGTGATAATAAAATATTGTGCAAAAGAACGTAATAAAACTGAAACGAAAAATATTTTTATTTTAACGTAGCGTAAACACTACTTAGCAAATTCACATTTTCATTCGTTTCATAATGCATTCTCTGCAAATGTAGCATATACATATATGCTTCAAGATAAAGTAGTGCAGTAGAAGTGCTCGTAGAAAAAATACTACATATGAAACATGCTCAAATTGTGTTAAGGGTTAACGAGTGCACTTATTGCAGAGAGAAGTCACATGCGGCATCGTTAATTGTTATCAATTCTTAATAGATACTTCTTAATAGAATCATATTATATATATATATATATATATATATATATATATATATATATAATATTTATACACATAAATATGTAAAATTTATTGCTATTCTGTGTATTCCATACGATATTTCAAGAAGTTAACATCGATAAAAAAACGTAAATTCTTAAAAATTTATATAGCTCCTAGATACGTAATTTCTACTTAAATATAGAAATATATAAAAATATTTTCCAGAAGTGTGTCACATTAATTATTTATAAAAATATTCAGTCTTATGCACACACACAAATTCATGTTTTTAAAATTATTTTTTACAATTATTCATAAGTTATTTTATGAAATTATGTTATAATACAAATAACAACAATTTAAATTAATGAAACTTGAAATATTTAATAAACTGCACACTTCTAGAAAAAATTGTACACACATATAATTAGTATAAAATTTTATAAAAAATAATAAATTGAAATATTCTCTTGAGTGACAAAAAGTACCTGATATAATTATAATATTTTTACATACACCAATCGCACAGTATATTTGATTTTCGGTACTTTACCTAAATCTAGTCGATGAATTTCAAATTTGCGTCGTTTATTCTACTGCGAGTAAATATAAAATTTAAGCGACGATAAGAGAATAAGCAAAATTTTAATAAGATTTATCAATTTCATGCGTCGAAATATTAATAAAATATCTAAAAAATAAATATTTAACTATATAAATAGAGCAGATAACTCTTACGACAGATGTTTTAAAAATATAGAATTTAAAATTTTTTTCTGCAGCAAATAAGCCTTTGATTATAAATAATACATAATTTATGGCCATCGTTTTTAATTAAAAAATCTCTGAATTTTTCTTTCTTTTTTACCTTTTAAAAGCTATTTCCTATTTTGTGTTTTCTAATGAGAAGCAATTATTACGTATATATATATCACGTTTAAAAATCTCGTAAATTAATACGATATATCCATCTTTCAACCTATCAATTGCAATTTTTCTGTAAAACATTAGAACTATAAAATAATATTTTATTTAATTTTAAAAATTTATTGACAAGTAGAAGAAGATACTTAAATAAATTTTCCAATTTTATCAACTTATAGAATTTTTAATATTTCTTTTAAAATGATTTTTAAAATAGATAAGATTATAATAAAAATAATTTTTATGCAAATTTAATTAGGATCCTTTGAAAAAAAAAATTAACCGACTTCAAAATATTATTGTATTTAAAAAATATATAACAAATAATTATTATTGGCACTGTATTAACAATTGAATTTATTCAATTAATTAATAATTGAATCATAATTTATAATTAAGTCATAAAATAAATACGCGACAACGTATATTATATTATATTTTAATGTATGTATATTGTTTATAATTCTGAGTTGTATGGTACGTGAAATATTTCTAATACTTTTTTAATATATATATATATGTACTATATTCAATATTTATTATATAGTACATTATATATAAGAATAAAAAATGTAAAAACTTTTGCAATTTTAATAGAGTATAGTGCAACGCGTCATGTGCAAATATTATTACTATATTGCTTTAATAGAGCTAAAATAAAAAAATTAGAAAGAGATAGTTACTGTTCTTACCTCAAGTCTATAAGAGGTAGAAAATCAACGTCTATCAGCGGTCTAAGGCTAGGCAGACTGTACGTCGTGATGTGACCGTTGGAAACATAACATACCAGACAGACATTATCTAGACAGAAATGTTTCGGAAATGAGGCTCTCCGCGAAAGGATTACATATCTTAAAATAATTACATAGCAAACATAATAATAAGTCTATAAATGGCAGTTATATCTCTATTATATCTATATTCTCGCTTTATGTAAAAAATATAGATTGTACCTTTCAGTGATGTAACCTCTGCTTTAATTACGATATGAGTTTCCGCCAGTTGTTGCCTATATACACAATTTTGGGAGGGTAACGCCACAACTCTCGCTTGCTTTTCCGATGCAAGCACAACAAATTGTCTGTCTTCAAAATTATCCCCGCTGACTTGCGCCGATGGTGACATTCGGCTATTGGTACATTTCCCTTGACTCTCTTTTATAAAAATTTATTTTATTAATATGACATATCACATATGAAACTTTCTTATATATTACATAATATATAGTTTTATATGTAAATATATTGATATATTAAACATAATATTTTTATATATTACACATAGGATTCTTTTAGAATAAATATGAAAATCATAGAAAATACGAGCTATATCTCTATATTAATTTTTGTTCTCATAAATCTGTAATTATTAATGGAAATGAAACTTACTGTTGCGTTCCTTGCCATCCGTGTTTTCATCTTTCCAAGATTCGAATAAATATGGAATCAGAGCGCCGTTGCAATCTAAGAACGACATGGACTGGATACAACCTTTGAGTTTGAAAGTAGATCCATCTGCACAGAATCAAATGCATATTAAAATTCATGTTGCATAGCTTGAGCGGTTTTAAATAAAGATTACTATGATTTTAAGACGATAATTATATATTTTATTGAACTCTGAAAATATAATAAAGAAGATTTGCTTACTACAAGTAGACACAACCACTGGATGAGCATGACGTTCGCCATGGGCAGGTGTATTGAATACAACAGTCTGTACAGATCCCAGAGACGTGCCAATCCACAAAGTTGGCATGCCGTTTGTATCTTTAAAACAGACAGTTATTGTAATTAAATTTCCTCCACGTTAAATTATTGCAAATAATTTATTAACATCGTAAGAAAAGAAAAAATTATAATATAATTAATCATTTAGAATATTCGTAAATTTTAATTTTAAGCAATAATGTCTCTCGTCGACAAGAGCAAGAATTAATAACAATTATTTGATTCGTTGAATTAAAGGCGTTAATAAGGAAAATTAAATATATAATAAATGTAAATTCGGACTTACGTAAAATAAAAATGATAATAATCATAAATTTTAAAATCAAACTCTTGTTAAAAATCTATCATTAAACTAGCTTACATACCATTTTTTTTCGTATAAGAATCCGCAAATGTAAGGCAGCTTATGGTTTCTGTGGTGATATTTTCGAGGGACGACATACTCGAGCTCCTTGATCGTTGGAAGGAACCATCGAATTTGTCTACCCGACCAGCGATCCCAAAAGAAAATTATCGATTATTTATGGAATAAAAATGTTCCATTTCTTTTTGGGCTACTAAAAAGCATGCACAATAACTATTGAAATTATTTTCGACACGCTTACATCATTTTTACGTAGTGTATATCGCAAAGTGTAACTAGCGGAATCAGAACATTTATCAGAGACAGAGCGCAGCTTCAAGAGGACAGTAATAATAATGATCGTGACGATGAGAAATGACTCATTATGAGGACGACGACGATGACGATGATTATAATAATAATAATAACAGCGACAGCAACAACAACAACTATCATGATTAGTGTTTCTCGACTGCAGTTCACATATTAATTTTCCTTCGCAGACTTTGGACTTATCAGGACTTATGAATATATCAAGTCAGTTGTAAATTTACACAAACACATACACACTAAGACGCATACAAATTCACACGTACATACGCACACACACGTGTATAGTGTTCAGTTAACGTAAAGTTATATTAGAGTATAGAGAGAATATTCGTTCGCAGATTCAGTTAATCTCATATAAGGAAGCTAAATAGACGAGCGACGAAAAATTACTCTTGCATGCACGCGTAAAATATTCGAGGGGGAGAGATCTTCAGATTGTGTGGTGACGAAAATATCATCACATAAAAATTAATCGAGAGAATTTTCATAGTACAAACAAAAAATAGGACAAACCAATGCATTTCATGTAAGCCTGTATAATTCAAAAATAAAATTGGTAAGACGCCAGATATATATATATATATATATATATATTATTTTTTTTTTTTTTCAATTATAAGCGGTTTTGCAAAAATAATAATCCAAATATATAATAGAATGTACATTAAACAATGTATCACTTTCTGAATATAATTATTTCAGCACAGAATATTACTTACAATTAATGGTCGTATGATATAAAATTGAAGTTTAATACTGCACATAATGAATGTAGTATTGTTACGTAAATTTATTCCAGCCTATACATTTTTAATTAAATGATGCACATTTCAAGTAAAATTTAGGAGCGATACAAATAAATTGAGATTATTTATATTTAAAAATTAACACGAAGCGCTATTATGGCGCAAACAAATCGCGTTTTAAGGAGTTGCATAAAAATCGTGAGAATTGTACGTTGACACAATTGAAAATAACGTTAACATACGACAGACAAGTCGTTTTACAAATGCGGAGAAAACGGTAACCGATTTAGGTACTTTAAAGAAGTAAAGATGTATATCGTTGAAGTCTATAATATGTTGACACGTAATATTTTGTCCCTCCGACATTTTTGCACATTTTATGAAGCTTGTAAAGTCCGTCTTATCAGTATATTCACACAGGGTGCGTCTTAGATTGTGCATCGAGCTGGGAAGTAGTTATTTGAGATGCAACGTTATAGACCACATCTAAAAGAAGCAGAAATCAAAAGCTTGCCACATAGGCGAAAACGAAAAGAGTAGGAAAGAGTATCTCTTTTCGAGAGTGTGCAGTGTGACAACTAGAGATCACGCAGTCCAGACGAGTGTGCCATTTTGTGTTTATTTAGAAAAGATCCACTAAAGAGCATATACAAGTCAGAAAGAAAGAGATGCATCGTAGTGTGAGAGAGAAGTCACTATCGAAGTCGCTTTCACAATCAAATCAGTAAAGACCAGACAGTATCTATTGATTCTAGACAATATATAAAAACGTATGCCGTGCTGCAAGAATCTCGGGAACAACGTTGCTAATGATTTTACAAATTATATAAAAAAAGAAAGTTATTAAAAAATTACTATCCAGTTTTAAAATCAATCTAGAAAAAAATGTATTTTATAGAGTAAGAGATAGAGGAATATATAAACATTGTCTTGAAAAAATTGTATGATATAATGTCAAAAAATTGATCGTTGATGTATAATAATTTTTCTATATATATTTATTAATCATTTAAGATGGAGCAACGTTGCGCAAAAGATCCGGCACTTTCCACGGTTGAAAAATTTGGTCCGAGAAAAATCATTCTATTCATAAGAAAATAAAAGTAAAAATCAAGCGATCAGAGAAGAATAGCTTTTCCATTCGATGTCACAGAGAGAAAGAGAATAATATATATATCGCCTACGTAGTAGTCATACATATATAGATAATTAAAGTTACAATTAACTGTCGACACAATACTACCAAAGCTGCTATACTGTCTGGTATTGGTGAGGATATTCTGGTAGTTCAAAGACGCTTGAGGGACGGCTGAGGAGCAACTTCTCATCTCCGTGCTACGCTGAGCGTAGAATTGCGAGACTGTCGGAAAAGCGGCGGCGGCGCCCGAGGCGGAATCCACCTCGAAGTGGCTGGTAGTGGTGCTCAGACACTTCTGGAGCTTCCTTATACCCTGGGCGCGCGGGTGACGTTGATCTAACGTGACACCCTTGCGAGACACTTGCGTATTAATTTCCTCCTCGGTACCGCTAATCGCCCCGGCGGCGGCATTACGGGTACCCGAGCGAATTACGCAAGCACCAGCATTAGAACCTCCACCACCGTCACTATTGTAGGCGCCGTTGCTGCCACCGCCGGTGCTACAACCATCACTATTATCACCATTGTCACCTCTCTCACCACCAACACCCACTGTACTTCTTCCTGTCACCGGCAATACGCACATCCCGTTCATCTACAAATCAGTGACAAGTCAAATGTAGAAGAATAGTATGTACGACTTGGGTCGTTGCTTTCGTTTATAAAAGCAAATTTACGTGGATTTTTTTTATATGGAAATGAGCGCGGAATTCTATCAAGCCATCTTTTGTCGCGAAACGAGAAAACAGAAAACGTTATATGAAAAATTAATTTCCATTAAAAGAAATTTTATTTTTAGAATTTTCAGTTAGTAGATTATTATGTTATATAAGCGTTGTCTACGTACTTTACGCGTTCTATTCTCTTTATCGTTTATTCTATAAAAACTTATTTTTTTATTACCATATTGATTAATTAAGAATGGAAATATAAAACTAAAGCACTCAACATATAAGCGTAATAGAATAATGAAAAATATCAAATAAAATATCAAACAAAATAGCAGAGACGTATTATAATTTATATTTAAAAATGTATCATTAGTTCACGTTGACGTATAGAATAAGGCAAAATATATTACTGAAAAGTTTTAATTAATATATTTATAAATTCTTCTTATATAAAGTTACATATCCATATGATTTCCCACCCTAAAATTGAAGACTTCATTAAATGTAATAATGCAGCTAAATAGCTGGAGAGAAAAGAAATGGTTAACAATTATTTTTGGGGGGTTGTCTAATATTTACACGAGAGAATTTTCTTTTAGAATTTACCCTGAAATATGGTATTGTAAGAATTTAATAAGAATTTTTCCGAAATATTTATTACAATAAAAAATATTCAAATATCTACATAGTAAATATCTTATTGTGTTAGATATTAATGTTTTATTGTGGTAAATATTAATCAGAGAAACGCTTATTAAATTCTTTCAATATCATCGTATTGTCTCACGATCACCATGATTTTCAGAGTAATTCTAAGAGAAAATATTCTCTCTGCGTACAAACAATTATTTATATTATTCTCTATTAAATAACTCATGTATGCGCAAAAGCGTTTCAGTAAAGAAACTTTATTTATTCTTTTCATTAAAATATTCTCATACGTTGGAATTCACACAAGCATTCGGAGGCATTCCTTTCATGTTCGATAACAATGATCTTCATTTTCGAGAGAACCCTACTTAAGAAACAATGATTCATCAGAATCAATCACGTCGAAAATAGTGATAAAGCTTTGCGTCAGAATAGATGTTTGTGTAAAAGTAACGTCTACTTAGACGAATTAGGAGATTTTTTCCCATATTATCTGTATATTTTGTCGCGTCGATACGAAATGACAGACATCCCTCGATAAAGACACATCGAAAACACTTTCGTTCATGCGACTGGGCTTTGCCTCGACTATTCGAAAGACGATTTGTCGGGCAAATTTGTGTGCGAAATATAACATTTGTTGTCATTGCTGTTGTCTGCACTGGGGATGACGTTATGGAAGACCTCGTTGAGAGAAAAAAAATGATAAACGCCTGCTCGTGTATGCACATTCTTGTTGCTCGCTATGTGGAATATCAGAATATTATGCAGAGTCCTCTATAGTAGTCAGTCAATGTCGAGATAGAAATTTGAAAGGGTTGGACTGACAAAAATGTCCTGTCAGCAGCAGCGTTTTATATAACGCGCATTAAATATAATTTCACGCCTTAATCTAATCGATATAAAAGAAAATAACTTTTGTCTTGTTGTCATTGATGATGCCATGATCATCAGTGTTGTTATTATTATTACTATTGCTATTTGCGTGCAAACCATCGAAAAAATTTCCAAAAGCTTTGAAAAGCAATGTTGTACCGAGAGAAAAATGTCTGTAGATAATATACTCGTAGGTTGGAAAGTAAGAAGAGAAAAATCATGATAATTGTGCATGTAGATTTGAAGACAAGTGGAAGTCGATCGTATTTCGAGAAATATGTTAATAGTCTACGAATATATAATAATCCGATTTTTGGATTATAACCAAGCTACATAGGATGATAAGAATACTGCCTATTAATTTGTAATGTGTATCATACATCTTGACTGAGATCTTGGTATGTCAAGGTGTGTACTTTTCTCTCGGTGATAAAGACAACTGCCAAAATATGAAAAACCTTGTTTTTACCTGAATCGAGCTTGCTGTCGGGGAAGACCGCAAAATTGATTTGAACCTGAAAAAGTGTTAAAGTAGAATCTCTTCAAATTCGTATTGTACAGTGTAAAAGTGTAGATAGAGGACTTGGCGCCGGTACGAACGGGGTCGTGTTATTTCCTGTTGATATTCCCGCGGGAGGAAGGGGTATATTTCCCATATTTTGCGAGCATAAGAACAATGTTTACAAGGCATAAACGTAGCCATAAAATTTGGAAGTTGACACAAATGGATACCAAGGATTACCAAGACCAAACAGGAGGCGATGCACTTTCCAAATATTTACTACGCATTCCAGGTATATTGGTAAACCTAGGGGTGGGAATAACTAGAAAAATCTTAAATATATATACGATGAATCCCGACCTATTGACCTATCGAGATCATCAACGCGAATGAATTGCATACTAAAAAACTGTTCGGCAAGATAATGCTTTATGAAAAGGCAATCGATGCAGTTTAGTGAAGCGTTCTTGAACATTCTTTAAAATGTATTCTTAAAATAAAATCAGAAATATATCACATTTACATATAAATTGAATATACGCGCAGAGATATTTGCATCTGACAAATTCTTAATTGCGTATCTTACGACGTCATTTATATTTTATAGCCTATCTCTAGATAATCTTATATGCTTATAGTATTGCCTTTACATAGTAAGAATGTGTAATATTACATCAAATCATAATACTGATTTTATCATTTAAATATTTGTAATTTGCGCGTAGAGGTATCTTTTTGATCAAAATCAGGAATGCATTTTAAAGAATTATTATTATCATTATTTTTATTTCGACGTACATCACGTTGTATTAACCTGTAGCAGAAAATATTGTCTGCACTCTTCTAATTAATTATAAGGCCTTTTCTCTTCATAACCGAAGAAACGTCGACACATTTCGGACGAGCCTAATTATAACTATCGATGAATTTATTGACTGACCATTATATTAGACTCTACATCTTGCGTGACGAAATTTCACAGCACAGTCTCTCTTATTCCACATAACTATATAAATATTTATCTTATGAAAAAAATATCATCAATCAATTACGTTTTAATGTTAGTTAATCTCGCAATCGATGATATCTACCAAGCTTCTGCTATTAAATTCTTGCAAAAATCTTGTTTCGAGAGTTAAATTATTCATTTCTATCATATTGAATATATTGAAAACGAACACTCAGAGAGAAATTATGAAATTGTAGAATTTAAATAAATATAATAAAGAATGTACAGAGATGTATAGTAATTTTTAATAATTTTCATATTGCACGTATTAAAATATACGCAACACATGCTCTTTAGAATTATAGAAACATAATAAACACGAGATAAATTGCTACCGTTCATTTTCTTTTTAATGACATAGAAATGTCTATTAACAATATTTAGATTGCATTATAATAGCGCTGCTATTTCATCAATATGCATTTGTATTCGTACATGCAATAAGTAAAGAATACTTGTAACGGATAACTAGAAATTTGCGAGCTATTTTATTCAATTTTATGTATATGTGAATATTTATCAGATTTATGTGATCTATTATATGTGTCAAAAATTGTTAGTATTTTAATAAATATTTGTTTGTTTCTTTGAGACATGTATCGTAAGTAATGTTTAAAGCCATTAAGAGTTATCGCAACGATTTGCAAGAGTACACATGTGTTAGAAGCTATTATTGTTATTTAAATATTGACTGATTTACCTAAATATTAATTTAATGTTTCACATAAACCTTTGATGATGACATGTTATAATGAAAGCCAATATTGAGTAATAAAATTATTCCATATTTTTCGTGAAATTATATAAAAGGATTAAATTGAAATAATTTAAAATATATTTTAATTTTCTCCACAATATATAATGTACAAATTAATAATAACAAATTTTAAATTGAAATAGGGAAGAAGAGAGATAATACTTATATATTCACTCCATTATGAATATCATTAGTAATATCTTTACTCTGCTTTAAAATTAAATGAATATAGAATTTGTTAAAATATGTATAATTAAATACCAGCAATTGAATTTATAATTTGTTAAAGCAATGATTTTATAATTTATTATAATTTACCCAATCTTGGCAACGATGCAATTAATATGAGTTGTGTTAACGTTTCCTCTGGAAATAATCATGAACGCATCTAAGAGCATCCTAGGCTTTGTTAGAAAAAAAAGAGGCAGAAGCACGTCCAGGACCAGCCGAGCTCTCTCTATGGTTAGTCTACACCCACCACATGTTCTCAATCACAGATACAAATGCAATTTATTGTTAATCGCACGTTTCCCGATCGAGAAAAATTTCGACCGCTAATAAGATTAGTTACACGTTCACACATTCACATTTAACGTGAAAATCTAACGAAGTAATATATCTCTAAGGACACACGGACGACACAAAACGCTTTTCTACGTTAGATATAAACACTTACTGAATCTTCTTATAAGATTGCCGGTGAACGATTCGGAGGTAGAATTCTCTTCGCATCTTAGGTCACAAACAGTCGGCTCGTTCTTGGAAAATTTCAGATTCGGCACTGAGAGCAAACGACCCTCTCTCTTTGTCTGTTTGAGCTTGGCGATACGCTTCAATCGCGGCGGTTTTACCTCGTGTTCGGGCAAAGACAGATTCATCGGTCTCACCGCCTCGGTTTTTACGCCGATATTGCCGTCGTTTATTATCATTTTCTCGGCCTCGTTTTCGCTCACGGGGCTTCTAGCCTCTTGGATCTCTCGCTTCCTGTTGTCGATCTGAGGACTCTCGTGCCCCGGAGACTGATTCTCCGGCGACAAAGAGGATTCAGAGTCGACACTTTCGACCGGCGACAGCGAACGACTCGTGCTGGCCGTTTCGGTGACATTGCAGTAAAATGTGGAAGACTTTTGATTGCCAGTATCGCTGCTTGTCTGCTGGCATTGGGGTACTTGCATGAGCCCCGATGACGAGCTCTTTCGAAAACATAAAGATGTACATTGTAAACGTAAAATGACATTAGATTCACGAGAAGAGAGAGGGAAGCAAAAGTATGCCGTTATCTATATTACAAAAAGCAATTTCTGATATAAGCACAAAATTAATCTTTTTTTCTCTCACCAAAAAGATATTCTTTTTATAATCAAATAATTTTTCATACAATGTAAGAGAAACTTTGTTTTCTTTATAAAATTACGAGAAGAAGAGAGAGTCATCATTTTTTTATGTACTTATGTATACACTTGTAAGAACATACACACGTACATATAAATGATGCAAAGATATAAGAATGCAATGGCTGCACTACAAGCTAACTTGTGTTACGTACAATTAAAATGTCATATAGTTTAAATATTTCGCGAAAAAACTAGTAGCAGTAACAACACAAAAAGAACTTAAAATTATTATGATTTTTGTTAATTACATAAAGAATGATAATTAAAGCACGTATTAAAAAACATACAAGTACCCCATCATTCTGAGAAGACACCGAGGACGGTGTAAAAGTATTTTTGATCTTCAGATCAACCTTGCTCAGTTGTCTCTTGAGACTAAATCCCTTCCATCCTTGACTTTTTTGGCACTCGTCGTCGTTCCCCGTTTTATTGTGTTCGTTCGTGGATTCCTCTCCACTCGATTTATCGCTATTGTTTCCAGTCTGACTCTCATTCCGAAGACATACTTGTTGAATCGAATCTGCTATCCTTGTAACTACGGGCTCGGATTCCGTCGCGGATTCTCGTTGACTCTGATGAATTTAAGATGTTGGACTTTGCACAATCAATCAATCGTAGGTAAAAAGAGATTTTATATATATATATATATATATATATATATATATATATATATATAAAATAGTGAACCTAATCTAAAAACAATTATATTAAAAAAATATCATTATACATATAATTTTCGCGTTCGTGTTCCGTAAGTGTCCACTAATAGTGGTGTAGACTAATCCTTTATTATCGTGCTGTTATATGATCTGCCGTGTCTGAAAACGCGTGAAACATGCCTAAAAACAAGCGTAATGTCAAATTCAAATTGAAAAGCTATCGCAAACATATGGTCACTTGTCACTTCCCAAGCTCGTGAAATTCTTGTATCGAAGAGTACAGACAGAACAATAATTATTTTTTTCTTTTACATGAATAAATCTATCTGTCTATAAGAGCTAACAAAATGCCTAAGATGCTCGTAGAAACGTAGGCCTTTGTATTTATAATATCGCTAGTCAATGGAATGTATTTTGTAGAAATGAAGATTATACATTTGTCACATTGTTTTCGTTTCTTTTAACTATTGTTCGCAATGTTAAGTAAATTTCCTAAGTGTATACGAGTGTCTCAAAATTTCAATATTTGTTGCACTTATTGAATCGTTATTGAGAAAGAGAGATAGGAGAGAGATCAAATTCAAGAGATATCGCGTTACCATCTTATGATTTGTTTAATATGATTCATATAAACGAAAAGATACGATTTTAATCACTGACATTTTGACGTATGATTTATAATTCTTGCTGTAGAAAATATCTACAGTTTTCGATAATAAATATCTCGATAAGAAAATAGCAAGTGAGATCATAAATATTGATTCTTGACGATACTAGAAATCTTGAAAAAAAAAATTTACGATGAAGAATATGCGATACGACATCAGCTACAAGTATAGCTGAGTTAGCGTACACATTTCATATCTGTGTGCAATGGTCAAGTTATAAATCTTATCTACATATTCGCGTTTAAAATAAACAAAAAGAGTGATTCAACAAAATTACATTGATAATAATATATGTACTAACATTTACATTTACTAAGCATGCGAGTACATGTAAATATTGCTGGAAGATAATTGGATACTGGCTTTATAAAAATAGCTCTGTAAAAACAGTTGTACCATTTGTCTGATAATATAATTCCCATTTAACTTGCTTTAAAGCATAAATGTAAAGTTAGAGATGATCTTAAACAATGCATGTATGCATTACATCAGTAAGATGACAGTACTAGGCGCTGATAAAGGTTGGAGAAGCATAGAGAACACGTGTTATAAAAATATTACATATCGGATATATTGCAAGTTTGCACAAATTTACTTTTACATTAAGGCGGGGGATTAAATTATAATCTTTAATAATATTCACAAAATTTTGAACTGTAAAAACGAAGTACAGTAATTTAGTTTGGCTCTCAAGGTTTAAAAACTTGAAATTTAATAAAAATATATATCAAATCTGTGTGTCAAAGCTTCTAGAGAACACTCTCAATATTAACTTCCAATCAAATGTTGTTTCTAATCACGAAAACATTACAAAATGTTCTATTTTACTCGTAACACATTTGTGTATGGATATATCTTTAATCACCTGCTAGATATCTCATCAATAATTGAGCAATGCTGACATTTACTGATGTGATGTATATACGTAGCTGAAACATGTTATGATTATTATTAAATAAACACTTTTTTTATGCTAATAAACACACTGTACACACATTAAGAATAAATTCTTTTTTGTAAAAATATTGTCATAAATTATCTACAGTGACAAATTTCTGATTTCTAACACAGAGAGCACTACACCATCAATTAAATATTACGTTTAGAGATAAATGTGACAAATAATGTTTATTAATTCGATTACTATCTGTCTAACATAATGTAGTGAGTACCAACTATCATGAATCAAATTGTGTAAACACAAATAGAACATCCGTGTAAAACACATTTAATAATAAGATTTCATCTTTAATTTTTCCCTAATGATATTCTCAAGCATGGTTTTTTAAATACTTGATAAATGATGCTTTATCATATTAATGACATCTCAAACTTGAGACTCGTCAACATATCTGACACTTTTCTGTTTTATAATATGTCGTATATAAAAATTACTTGAGCATTAAATGTTTGATGTATGATTTAGGTTGCATATTTATTTTTCTCATGCATTACTGTGTATATTAATAATAATGTCTAATGACACACGTTATATAATAAAAAGATTTACGAATAACATCGTAAAATTTATCACATTAATGTAATATATATGTGGGTATGTACATACATATATCCATCCATTTTTTAAAAAGTAGTATCAGTCTTCAAAGCAAATCAATGCTAAGTTATATATATATAATATCAACATTGTTAAAAACACACACCATATTAATTTAATGATTGTGATTGTAAATCTTACATTTACATCACATTTTTATTTTTATATCAAATCTATGCATATGCACAGATTCCATCAAATGTTTATGTGAGAACCATTGTTATTCTTGTAATGTATTAAGTAATTAACGTTTCTTAATCTTGCTTTTCTTGCATTGTTTCCACTCCTTTTTATTTGTCCAGTTCAGTTTTTACTACACTCAACATTTTATTATCTAATTACAAATTTAATGATAGAAACTCAATATTTTACTATTTAATTATTGCTACCTACTAAAATAATATATAAATAAAGACTAATACTCTCTCTCTTAACAGAACAACATTACACAATACAAAAAAACTATAACAAATTTCTCAACAGAAATATATTTAGTCTTACTTGCTTCAATGGTAGACACATAGTAGTTAGCTAAACATTAAATGCAAAATATATATAAATATAACGAAACAGATCATTATACTCTTTTATAAAGTCGCATAAAAAGAAAAAGTATTTAACATTTATTATTCATTTATTCTATATAATCCGTTCATAAGATTTAACATTAATAATCAAAGTTTTTTTTATAATAAAAAATAATATATATACGAATACTTTTTCTAATAAAATGTTCTAATAATATTTATAATAAAATAATATACTGTGTTGTCACTTCTTAATACACTTATATAGATATATGTATACACTGACTTAGATTTTTATAAATATCTGTAATGTCTTGAATAATAATTTTTTTTAAAAAGTCATATAATTTATGAAAAAAACTTAGCCCATGGAAAATGACAAGCTTGACCAATAGTTGCCGATGTAAAATCATTCTTTTTGATTTATGACAAAAATGTTCATAATATTTCTTTAAACATATTTTCACTAAATTTTAGAAGTTAAAAGGTTGGGTTGTTTGAGTCATCTGGTACATAAAAAACTTTTAATTTGTTAAACAAACATTAAAAATGCAGATATTCTCCTCGGGATACAACAGCTTGAATTTTGACAGATATATTTAAACTGATACATGTAATTATCCTCTTTTTCTATAATATATATTAGTGTTTAATATTATTTATTAAAAAACTGCTAAGCAGTGAACAAAAATCTTAAATATTTTTGTTATTATAATATTACCTATAATGTATTTGAAAAAGAATAAAATTGACGTTTTTGCATATTATACGTAAATTAAAAGTATATGTAAAAAAAGAATATTATTGCGTCTAAAAATTTCTCTACACACAGATACACAATAATCATTTAGACATAGTAATTTGAAACGTAGTTTTTATCTTATTGCAAAAATTATATTTTCTTACTATCCAAATTTGAAAGCAAACTTTATGTAAATAATTTAACAAGCGACATCTACTATAAATATCAATATAAAAAAAATATTAATCATGTATATAATAAAAAAATTTAATAATTTAAAAATTAAATAAGTTAAAATAAGTTAAATAAATATACATAATATAAAGATTAATAGATGCTTTGAAAAGTATTTGATTAATAATAACATGTCATTATGTTATTAAAATTTGACATTTGATTGTTACATCTTTTATTTGTTAATTACGTAAAAAATAATTTTATTACTTGTTAAACAATAATTGTTTGTTACGTTTGTTAGAGCTTGTTAAAATATCAGATATTTCTAATTTTTGTTAAATTTTTTTCTTTCATTATGAAAGGTCATTATCCTTTTGATTAAAAAATAGATTATTGTCCGCTATATAGGGAGATAATGGATACTTTACCTTTTTGTTGCCAACATTTATTTTGCTTTTCAGTATATTTAAAAAAATTTTTTAAGAGCGATGATATGTTTTTAGCGAATTATACTACACATATAAAATTACAGGAAGAGTCCGTAATCAAATTACAGAAAGATTCCTCAAGCACGCAAGATTAGATTAGTAAATTACAGAAAAAAATTTAGGTTCATAACTTCCTATTGTCATTACTGTTATGAAAATATGTGCTATGGACCATTGTGCAATTAAATAAAATTTAGATATTCTTTATGCACGCTCACGCTTAAATGTATGTACGTGCACGCGTGCGTTTTATAATGAGGATATTTTTTCTTAAAATGATATTATCGGATCGATAATTTATATTTACAGAATTGAAAAAAATGTTCTATTAATCATACTTTAAACTATAATACTTTTTGTAACTTTTTGTATTAATGTAATTTTTTTCGTATAATTGTAGTAATTAAACTATATTGTAAATATTTTATAATTACATGCAGTGAGAATAATGTTGGCACTTAGAGAAAGCAGAATGCAAGACGCTCAAGATGTAAAAATTCTAAGAGGTCTTTCTAAACGAGATCGAGGGGTAGGGACAGGGAAACTCAAAATGTAAATAGTTTTAATAGAAGAAGTACATTTTACCTGGTCTGTGCTTGGACTTCTTGCCTTGTCTTCATTTTCTCGTCTTAAGTCGTCCTGCCTCTTGGGACTCCGTAAGACGCGTTGATAAGGATCAGAGCCACCTCCAAGATCACTGGTGTTTAATACAATTAAAGAAATCTTCTGCACGATATCCACTATCACTAACCCTGACTCGTTTCCATAGGCCAATCTAAACATAAAAATAAGCAGAATATATATATATATATATATATATATATATATATATATATATAATATGATATTTGATTAACTCTCTCTCTCTCTATATAATAGGCAGCATAAGATAATATATATATATATATATATATATATATATATATATATATATAAATTTATATAAAAGATTATAAATTATTAAAGTTGATAAAAATTTGTAAAAATAATTTTATATGAAAAGACAATAATTTACCGCGCGCAATTAATATCAATCTAATTTATATAAAATTTTTATTTGCGCAAAAATTAAATAAAATAATCTTAAATTATATTGTATACTCACAGGCCGTATGAAGAATTTAAGCTAAGAGATGTAATATTTTCCGGTAGTTCTCCACTGGGTGCCGTTGTTAAACAAATCAATGTTGCTTGAAAACCAGCAGCTCTCTTTTGCAAACCCGTTTTAACTTTGAGCGGATGATTGAAATCTGAAGTTTTCGATTCCACATTTCCCACGGTGTTTCCAGTTGCCGGAGATTCACGATCTGGCGAATTATCCGCTTCTCTTAAAGGGTCCACCGATAAGCATATCTCCAAAGTCTGCAATATATCCGGAAAAACACGTCTTTTTTTCAAAAGAATAAGCATAAAATCGATATATAAAGACATGTTTTATTTAAATAAGATTTGATAAAGTAATTTAAAGTAAAATAAAAGAAAAAGATGATATAACTTCACTATTTTATAATTGTAAGTTCACTAACAGATAGACTTAAGTAATGTTTCAATAACAGCAAGAACAATAACTTACCACTACTTCGGACATACTCTCGACCTTCTTAAATTTAAACAACACAACGTGTTTGCCGCTTCCCGCAATAGCTAATTTTCGACTTTCAGGACAAAGGAAGATAAGTTGAATCGCTAACGGGTCTTCCTCAGAGTCTATACTACGCGTTCTAGTCTTTTCAAAAAGTTTCGCCGTCTTTAGTTTGTAAAGAACTTGTAACGTTCCCGCTGAAGCGTCCCAGAACTTTATACTGCCATCAGCATGCCTATGAACAAACACACGTATAACTAGAGAAATTTAAGGAATTTATCGATTATTAGCTAACTAGTAATAGACGATGACATATATATACAATGTATAATAACTAATATAGTAAGACGTACATATTTTAATGAAACTATGCATGTTATTATTATGATTGAGGAGATAAATTCTTTAATAAGAAAATGATTTAATACAAGATTATATTATTAATAATATTATACCCAGTAAGAATAATCTCGTTATAACTGCTAGAACTAGAGCTCCATTCTCCACCGGAAATAGGCCATTCCTTCTCGCTAAAGCCGGTTTTCTTTTGCGATTTGGATCCAACGGAATAAAATGCAGGTACCAGATCCGAAGGACAATCCGCGAAATATGCACAACACGTTACAGGAGACTCATGAATATCCATAGGATACGGATTCTCAAAACAGGGAAATCCAGGAGTTAACAAATCTATCACAACCAGATCATTTTGTAGTAGAACAACAACAGCGTAAGGATCTTGAAAATCTGAAAAATAAGTAATCACATATATACAGTGATAATATACCCATCAATAATTATAATTATTATGATAAGTAACGTGCTCATTATACATTAAAATACATAAAGAAAAAAAACACTTATATTGTAGTCAACAGAAAGAGGATAATTTACAGTTGTGAAAAAAAAAAAAAAAATTTTTTACTCGCGAATCACATAAAAAATGTATTTTATACTGTACCACTAGCCCATGGACTATCACACAGCGTTACAAAGTCTATAACATTATGTTCCATTTCTAGCACCGTAGTAGTTTTTCCATGTATCACTGTAATGCTGGGTGTTCTACCAGTGGTATCGTATGCCAATCCACCAGAAAATATCACATATGCTTCCCTAATAAAAATTTACGTTTATACGTTATTTGCAAGATTAACAGATATAGATATTTAATAAAGAATTATTCTGTGCTCGTTAAACGAATGGTATATTATTTTTTTACCCCGATCTCGACAATTTCCATTCTACTTTTTGAATGGGTTTGCAAAGTTCAGGTTCTCCGTCTCTAGTGGATTTTGCTGTAAGAAGGATTATCAATATAAAATTTTTGTAAATTATATATAATCAATAGATAAAATTGTATATCAATTAAGTCTCACCGTGTGGGTATGTTACATTCGTCGGCTTTAATTGCCGAACAGTCCAAGTAGAGAGCGAACCGTCCGTGTGACTGCACATAAATTGTTTACCTTCATGGTGCCATGTTATCGATTTCAATGCATCATCCGTTTGACACCTGTAGTCAGCACTTTTGGTTCTTAAGTCCCACAAAACAATTTGTCCTGTCGAGTATCCTATAAGCATCTGAAAACAAAGCATCCACATGTATATAAAATGCGCGTAAAGTCATTAAAATATATTTCCTTGAAACGAGAGAAACGACGATATATATGCATTATATATATAGGGATGATAAAATGTATTCTTTTACGAAATATCTCGACTCTGTTATCACGACAATGCACTTATTGTTAACATATACATATAGACAGATAATCAAATATAAAAATGTAGTGGACAAATTTCTACAAGATTTGTGCAAAGGGCACATATAAAACTCAGAGATACGATGATTGCGCATGATATTGATTTATCGATCGTCGAAAAAGAATGAGGTGGACGAAAATTTTTGTAATCAACGAGACAAAGTTAATTGTAGAAAAAGATTGTGCTATTGACATACACATTACGCGGTCGGAAAAATTCATTTCAAAAATATTAAATATCACAATTTAACTGTGCAATTTACTTTATTGCATAAAATACGTAATATGCTTTTGAATTTCTTTTATCAAATAAAACGCAGTTTTTATCTCATATATTCTTCAATAATATTTTATTTAGTGTAACCACGGTGTCTAAACATAATGCTTTGAGAAACGATACTTTGCAATTACACACTACTTAAAAAGAAGGAAATAATTAAAATTAGTAGTATTGATTAAAAGTAAACATTCACATTTTTTAATGCATCCTTAATAATTCATCATATATTTAATTTAAAAAACAAATAACGTATGTAATTAAATACCCCGCTGTAATTAAAATGAGAACAAAGGTGTATATTTACATAACCGAAAAATAAAATAGCGTATATTTAAACACGTTAATTATATAATATCAAGTACAACATCAACATCAAAGACACAGAGAGGTTGCAAACGCACCCCGAGCACTCAGACACTCGTCACACACTCGTAACTTCACAATTAGTAGTAGGTAAATAGAAGATAAATTTGTAGAAGGTTTTATAAGAAAAACTTCGTTGTATCAACAATGAACTCGTACAAAGTGTATAAAAAGATGAGTGATCATGATCGCGAGATATGATTTTCATCGACTTATAAAACCAATTTATAAATTCGTCTTTACATAATATCGACGATGATCGTGTTTTGGAGTATCAAAAAAAATCTCTCTTCCTTTAAATAAAATAGGCGTTTTTTAAATTCGTTTTTTCTTTTAATACACAACAGTGATAGCATGCACGCATGCACACATACAACATGCAAGCACACACTTGCACTTATTTGCTTGGATTACGAGTAATCCAAGTTTGTGTAAGGAATATTGAATAAACGCCAATTCTTTTTTCGCGCAATTCTTTTCTCCTTGATGCGTCACGATAAAATTGAATGTCAATCATGAAATTATGATAAGGATGAAATAATAATGCAAAAAAAAACGTACTCAAAAACGCGCGTACCTTGCTCAAATCTAAAGGATTATCACTCAAGTGTACTACAGCACCAGGATGGGTCTTTCTAGATCTGAAAAATATATATATGTATATACACACACATGAAAATCATTAGATTTGTGTTATTGTGAAACGTATATATGAAACACTTGTGTGCAAGCTTTAAACACTAGGTTTCATTGCAGTTTTATTTCACGATTGTACTTTTTTAGCTTATTGTTAGATATTACGCTATAATTTTTTGTAATGTGCCGATGATGTCTTGTGTATCAAAAACTTGGCACTATATTTAATAATATTTTTATCAAACATACGATATAAGAGAAAATTATAGTTGATTAATAGAAAGAATAAATAATAAAGCATTTTTTAAATAATTAAAATTGATAATTAACGGTTCCATTTGTGTAGACGGTTCCATTGTGTTATTAATTTCGATAAATCAAATGTAGAAGTATTAAAAGGCTTTATCGAAGGTAATAAATTTTTGGAAAATAGGAGGAAGATTAAAGGAGGGGGATACGCTTATATAAATTATTTTAAGTGTCTCGCTATTGGGAATTACTCGTGGCTAATTATCCATTAATCTGAGATAGAATCACAATTATGATCGTATCGTAAAATACTCTTGTAACAACGATATTTATTTATTAATATAATTAATATTCTGTGGCAAGTTTTCTTATAAAAAAAAGAAATTTATATTTATATGGATAAATCAATATTCTTGATATTGTTAGACAATTCTTAACTGTGCCAATTTCCGCGACTGAGATGATGCAACTTTCAATTTTTCATCGAAATATGTCAAATCCCAATGGTGGTACACTTATAATGAGCACCCCTATACCATCACTGCCACATTCACATCTATGTGTCTACAGTCAGGCACAATAAAGAACTACATGTCTTTGACGCGTCAGTTCTTTTCAGTGTTAAAAAATATATAAGTACTAGTAGAGTTTATCGGAGATCATCTCCACACGAATATTACAATTATCCGTCCACCGAAATTTAATTAATCCATACATTCACACATTAAGGACACAATCTTAAACGACACATCCGTTACAGGAATTAGTGGAAATGGGATCTGAAAAAGTTATTTTTCACTCATCTTTTTGAAAAAAAAAGAAAATATTTTTAAGAAATATTCTTTCGCGAAAAGATATAATAAGAGATGTTACGTAAACACGTAAACTTCTTGTGTAAAAAAATTACATAGCGGATATTGATGCTTCTCTTTTCCAATTTAAAATATTCTCCAAGTCATTGATATTCTATATCCATTGTTAGTACAGATTTATTGGAAATAAATTTAAGGAATTGACATATTTCACATCAAATAATCCATACTAAGGATGGATAAGAAATTACAATGAATTTATTGTAGAATATTTCAAACTGAGAAAATATGTGCACGCAAACGCACCCCGATATATTCTCTGTAATAAAAATTCTCAAGTGCCAATATCTTATTATTTCAAAATAAATTTTTTATCGTACGTTTCTGTTTTTCTCGCAGCGTGTCTTTCCGTTGTTTATGCTCGTTCTGCGGCTTGAAGAAAATTGCATTAACACAATACCTAATCACAACCAAGTGCTAAAAAAAAGTAGAACAAATTTACATCATACTGAACATCATTTCACTCCGCATTTAATAGAAAAGTCTTCTCGCTGAAATCAATTACGTTAAGTGGTGGCAGTTAACTTTCAAATACTTACCTTAAAGCAACAAATTTTAAACGTGTTTATATATGCTCGTAATTAGAAGTTACGAAGATTGGCATGTAGAATTTATTATGCTTTACACGCGTTCATATTTATGATTGCGTTTATACAAAATCTATATCGACACGCGCTGCTACTCTTCACTTCTTAATTACTCAGAAATGTGTTTAGCAAAAAATTAATATACTTACACTTCGATAGCCTTGTTCCAGTTAATTACATATCCGGATAGAACGAATGTTTCAATGTGCAGTATGTGAATATTTCCTCGTTCCGTTCCGACATACAACCATTTACTTTGAAGCGGTAGGTGAATGCAAGTGATTCTGTTAAAAACGTATTATACGATTAGCCACTCGTTAAAAAAAAAAGTTCAAACACAGTTCGAGTGCTCGTTAAAAATCTCTCGACTATTTTACATTCTACTCGTAGTAAGTAGTCATGCGTGATTCAAGATATTTTTATACATTTCGTATTTATTCGATGCATTACGAATATTTCTCTAATGATAAAAAACGAAATTAGAAGCAATAAAAAAATGTAAAGCCACACGTGTTAATTACTAACCTGTCTCTTTGAAACTTGAGACTTTGCACCACCTGCGGTATCTTCTGACGGAAGTTCCATAAATGCACGGTGTCGTCTGCCGTAGCGGACACTAATGCTCCTTCGTTGACCAAGAACTGTAATTGTACTACAGCCGCACATCCCTCGTGCTTTACATGTGCATCTACGCCAGGTCTACCCAAACTGTGTTTCCATGGTATCGAATTAATTCAGGAAAAATACAAGTCTCATGTGTACACAGACAGAATTTTCTCTTGGAATTTACCCTGAAAATCATGGTAATTGTGGGGGATAATATTATATAATATAAAAATATATATAATACATATAGAATATGTTCAATTAATTTTACTATATGTAGATATTAATATTTTTTATTGTGCTAAATATTAATCAAAGAAACTCTTATAAAATTCTTCCAATACCATATTGTCGATTACCATGATTTTTAGGATAAATTCTAAGAGAAAATTCTCTTTTCGTACATCTCTCAATTACGAGCTACCTGGGACCCACCATGTACAATTATAAAATAATATCTCTCATATATATTAAATTATATAATTATAATCCAGATATATTTATGATAAAAATACCCTTTATGTTATTTAATCAATTAGCTTACTAAAAAAAAACCGCATGCGAAGCATTATAAAAACGTGCGAAAAGATTGCACGAAATATTATTAGAAAATTCTTGCCGATTCATTAATTCTTCCGCGTCCAAACTCTTTTAAACGCAAAACGTAAAAATTTCATCCAAAATTGGCAACGCGGTTAAAACTTTTCCGTTTATAGTTTATCGCGGTAGTTAGTATGCCCATCGAACTGTGCCGAGCATCTATTATATCTTCACTTTGGCTATGATAGATCAATGAAATCACTGACGTGTAAAAACACACGGTCGAAGAGTCACGAAGCGACAGGACCGTGTAATTAATTCGCTAAATTTGTACAAACCCATTGACTTCCGAAATTTTTTTAGGCGGTATGCAAAGGCACGTTTTAACGAATATATATATATATATATATATATATATATATATATATATATACAGCTGTAATTTTTATTTCCGCCAATGCAAAATTTTCAGCGTCATCGTTATCTTATCCATAATTGCTTCGAGAATAGAATCGCGTGATAAAGTAAACACATTTACTGCGCGAAAAGCGAGCGAGAGAAAACTCGACAATTATACTCGAGTATATAATACATAAAGGGAGAAAAGAGGAGCAAAAAAAGGCAACAAAAAGGAACGAAAATTGAATCGCGTTGAATCGCGATATACTATATAATAGATATCCATTTTGTTCCGTTCTTTTTAATTGCGGGCATGCGTCGCTCTTCTTTCAAAGGGCTTAATTACGGGATACCACCCGTATTAACGATAACGTCAAAGGATACATTCTGAGAGATCCTGATTTAGTGCCAATAGCTAGGAGCCTTTGAACTGGGTCGAATGCCAACGCTGTCGGCTGATGCGGAAAACCGTGTCTGAATGTCTGTAACATAAAAGGCGTCCGTTTCATGCCATCTTTCCCGCTTTAGTCCCCTGGAAGACTATTCATCCTCGCGAGAGGGGTTGCGGAAATATATCAAAAGGGGGGGAAGTATTGTTTCACAGGCTCCTATTGTGTATCTCGTGGACAACCTGGCTACTGTTAATTTTATACCTTTGTTGCCCCGATACGTAAATGTTACCGATACTATATTGTCTGTTGGAGGTATTTAAAGTCGGCTTCACCGGGCATTATCCTGGCTTTCAATAAAAGGTCTGTCGTCATTAGCAAGGCTGGATATCGATTGACGTGGCAATACATATGTGAGTATATATGTATATATATATATACACACACACACACTCGTTTTCTTCTCCAAAAACATTCTCCCTTATACTTAAAGAGAAATAAAATATCTTTTACACGGATAAAACTTATATCCCGCGTAAAGTAACGCGACATACGACGCTATGTGCGCTTATATGCCGATATATAGGATATTGGGGCTTATATACGTCTTCTCTTCGCGCAGGAAACTTATCTTAAAACTTCGCCTCGCTTTACCGTGCAAAGCGGAGGATGAGGTAATCTTATGAAATGGAAGATGCGGCACTTCGCCGCACGCTTTTCGCAAACTTGCTCTCGCTCGTTGATCCGCCGCGATATATCAGCGCCGGTCTTAAAGTCAAAGCGAAGTACTCGTCCGAATAAAAAAAGAGAGAGAGAGAGAGAGAGAGCTCTAAAGACTTATCGCGCTTCGGGATCGGCGATCGCGTAAACGCGAGTTGGGAAACTTGGGGTTTTCGGGGGCTAACCACGCGACCGACACCGCCGATTGAAGAGGAGGATAACATATAGGACGACGGATATGTCTCGGGATCGATTTTGGTGCAACGGGACTCCGCCGCTGCTTTTCGTTGCTGAAAACTGCCCTCGTTCCATTTCACCAGCCGCCATCGTCGGGCGCCGGGGAACTGGCTTGAAATACGGCGAAAGTTTACGAGCGTCCAGCAGCAACTTACCTTACTCCGTTTCACGATTTCGCGAGTCCCCGGAGGATGGTACCATCCTCCCACGCGCAATTTTCCGCCGCGCAAGTTTACCGGACCGTCGACGGATTCATTGTCAGTGTATATCGTTTCCAGGCAAGAAATTATGTCGAAATAAAGAGATTAGAAGCCAGTATCCTATCGAATAATTCACGTGGCTTAAATCTCGCAAAAATATAACTTTTTATTAACTATGCATTATCCGACACATCTATTCTTTTTACATATTTCGAAAATCTTATCGATTTCGTTAGACGCGAAAATATAAGCTTACGTGAAACATTGCATTGATCAGGATCGGATCGCTCATGTTTTCTGCGAAATTAGAAAGAGCTAGAACTTCTCGCCAAGTTGTCGCGTGTGCGGAAAAAAGTACTATTGCATGAGGAAGCGAAACTATCGACCTGGTAATTCTAGAAAGATACGTTATATTATAAAAAAAATATATATATATATATATATATATATATATCGGGCGATTAACCTTTTTGCTTGAAAACCCACGCGCTCTCTTAACAAAGAAATATATATCGATGAGGTGCATATAAAGGGAGGTCTTTTCCATTTTGAATACATATTTTGCGGCCGTAGGACTTAATCGGCTTGCATACAGCGGGCTCGGATTATTATCGGGTAGAAAGCGTTTCACACGATCGTGTTATGGCGTGATGATTGCATTGTAATTTGTGACGGTCGGACGCCCAGCGCCTGCAGGTGCGGCAATCCGATCGACACATATGCGCGGCAGGGCGATCTACTCTGCGGCGCACACGAGCGTCGTTTATCAACTCGATAAAAAGATAAACCGCACAAATCAGATCGACGGAAAACGATTCTTCCGTTATTTAGAACATTTTCCAATTTTTACGATTTTTTTTTTGAGCGAAATGATGGAAATCGTGAGGCAATTTTTCAACATAATATATAATCGTTTTATGAATAATACAATTCTACATAAATCGATAGCATAAAATTAACACGCGATTATTTGTCTCAATATTCATTAATATATCTGTCAAAAATTTAATGTTTTTATCAATCCGACTGTGTTAACAATTATATAACAAGAGAGAAAGAGAGGATCGTAGAGTAATTTTTTGCCAATTTTACAGCAAAACACGCAATCGTTTTGTAAATTTGATTCTATATAAAATGATAGTATAAAATTGAATAAAGACATTTATCGTAATATTCAATTAATTTATCTGTAAAAAAATTAATTTTTTTATTGATCCGACTGTGTTAACAATTATATAACGAGAGAGGGATTCATAAGGTAATTTTTTTGCAAATTTTACAGCAAAACATGCAATCGTTTTGTGATTCTATAGAAATCTAATAGCATAAAATTAAGTAGACGCGATTATTTATCTTAATATTCAATTAATATATATATATATATATATATATATATCTGTTAAAAATTAATCATTTTATCGATCCGTTTTAACAATTATATAACAAAAGGAGGCTTTATGGGGTAATTTTTTACAAATTTTACAGCAAAACACGTAATTGTTTTGTAAATTCAATTCTATATAAATCGATAGCATAAAATAAAGTAGAAGAGAGCGACATTCATCTTAATATTCGATTAATACATCTGTTAAAAAATTAATTCATTTTTAATCGATCCGACTGTGTTAACAATTATATAACAAGAGAGAAATTCGTGGGGTAAATTTTTGCAAGTTTTTCAGCAAAACACGCAATGGTTTGATAAATTCAATTCTATATAAATCAATAGCATAAAATTTTTAATTTAAAATTCTAAATGATTAATTTTTTTATCGATCTGAGTGTGTTAACAATTATATATAACGCGATCGAATAGATAAATCTGTAATAGATTTTTTGTTGATACAGATTTGCTTTTATTATACATCTCATGTGTTTGACACATTAATCAAATTTTCTTTAAAATATCAATATCGTTTCGTTAAAATGTCATAATTAGAATGACTTTATTCAGTTGAATGACAGTTTGCTTAACCTTGGAGTTTGCTAACCTTGGAAATATCTTGATCGCTCACACATCTTCGAAACGCGGTAAGAGCGGAATGGGACGAGGACGAAATTGATGTCTGGTCTGGTCCAGAAGAGTTACGACAATGCGCATATAGGAGATATAGCGAAATGATAGATACGGCGAAACGTACACGAGTAGCCCACAACATTTTTCAGCTCAATATCAAGGTTGCTATCAATTTTCCGCTAGTGAAAACTTTGGCGCGCGTGCGTCAAGCTTTCACATCCCGCTTTTTCTATGCCGCTCTTTTTTTCCCTAACGTACGCAAAATAATACAAAATAAAAAGGACGCGTTATTCTTTATTTTATTTCAAGCTGCAGCGATGTTCCGCGAAGGAGAAAATAAACCGTTCTTCTACAATCAAGCAGAATCAAATACAAGAGATAATTTATATTCATATAATTTTGAACGGTAAAAGTAAGACAAAATACGCGAATAAATATGAATATTCAGATTATAGAAAATTGTTTCGCTTTCTTTCTCGCCTAATTTTGATTTTTATCGTAGCGATAAATTAATGCAAATATAAGAAAAAACTGTTCAGTTGTGGAAGCGGATTTCTCGAAAGATCGCACGTACATAATACGCGCAATTGGAGATTCACAATTCGCAGAAAAATGAAAAAATATTACACAGGTAAACCCTGGTATTGCGTTTGCACAGCACGGGCAAGCTCGAATTTATTCATTTTTGCATTCTATTATACGAGTGCTAGCGCAGCTGCAACGCCAGGGGCCATTATTTTTGCCTTGCTGACAGATTCAGATACGCGCGTGCTCAAATGAATGTGTACGTCGCGACGTAATTTCTAATTTCTCGTAAGGTTCTCGCACCTCTCGTAATTCGTTTTTTATGTTCTTGTCACGGCCGTGCGTGTACGGCTTAATTTGTTCTTTTCTATGTACGGCGTGTCCCCTTTACGGCAAAAGATTACGGAAAAAGCTTCGTGCGATAAGCGGTTAAAAAATAGTTATCTCTTAAAATAGGTAAAACGCGCAGCGTTTTTTTCTTTTTTTACAATTTTATACGCTCCGTTTATTTTACTTTTATGAGAGCAAGTAAGTTTCGGCGTAAAAAATTCTTCACTGCAGAATTTAGGACACTCGAATCGTCCTTGCCATAAAAGAGCCTTTAATATACGGTTAAAGTCAAATCGAATGGCGAGAGATCGCAGTTTATCATGCGTTCGATCATTGGTAGATAGTTTTGGATACATCGCACACAATGCAATTTCTTATTGACAATATTATATATAGCTACAAATCCACAAGGGCGGGTCATCATAACTTCCAGTCTATTGACAGATCTGTCATATGCCTCTTCCATAAATTGCCTTTATTGGAAATACAACTGGATGCTTCCCGATATTTTATTGCTGGTGAAATTTTACTTACAAAAAATACGCAACGATCAATTTTAATCATCATCGTAACAAATTCATTCACGTAACGCATGTCAATTTAATATTCTTGCAATTTGTCAAAAATGTGTTGCGCGCGATTTAAAAAATGTTGAACGAATGAGATAAAATTTATTCGTAAAAATGTAATATCGGATCATTTTCGAAGTTTCATTTGCTTTTTATATCATTTTCCGATAGTTTAGAAATATTATATAATTGTAAAAAAAAAATAATCTCTAAATATATCTGTAGATTTATCCTCTGCACGTAAACTTTCTTTCTCTGTACAACACTCTAATTTTAATTCTACAACATAAAGCTAAACATTCACTTCTTAACTCCGGCAATCAATATTCATTAGGATGCTTTCGAATATAGTAGCGCAACTCTGAAATGTTTGCTAGTGTACTGGACAACGTATGCAAATTTCGCACGTAGGCTGCGATACGTGGAACAAATCGTCGTCAGCAATTATGCAGTGCATATATCGTTTCTGAGAAAGAATCTCTCTCTCTTTATTTTTTGTCATATAATAATATATGTTACCTTTAATACACGCGCTATTTCTTTTTTATAAGTGCATAAATATCAATAAAGAAGAGAGCATAAAATAAAACGCAGATTTAAAGCTTCGTTTTTTACTCTCTGGCAAAACTAAATTATATACGCCATGTCTCATAATTATTTAAGAAAATTTGCAAGCTTTTAATTATACATTCATATATGAAAATGTCAACGAAAAATATATCGAGTAGACGCAAAATCATAAAAATTGGTATATGAATTCGAGTGTCATTCTTGTTAGAGAGAGAGAGAGATGGAGAGAGGAAAAAATTTAAATAATTGCTTTCATGATTATGTTCACTTATACGCATCGAGCGATGATTTCAACAGAGACAAATGCAACATAACACGAGGCTATGTGCCATATCATTTGTATATATAAATTCACGAGTCGTCATGAATATTATATTATCGTGATGTAACTAATATAACTAAATTTAATATAATTAAATATTTAACGAGAATCGGTTTTCAAGAATATTATACAATTATCTCAAATAAGAAAGTAATATCTAAAAATATAAATCTATCCTATTAATTTTTTGAAAAAGTTCCTCGAATGCGACAAAATCTTACGACATTCCGTAAAAATAAAACGAAGACTCTGATATAAAGAAAAATAAATATAAAAGTTCAGGTAGGAGATGAGCTACACCGTAAAACAATGTGTCGTAATTTTACATAAAATACGTAAAATTACACTTATTATTTATGTAATTTTACACATTTTTATGTAAAATTACGACACATTGTTTTACGGTGTAGCTCATCTCCTACCTGAACTTTTATATTTATTTTTCTTATATCAGAGTCTTCGTCATATTTTTTAAATGTAATAAGAGAGTGAAACGCAAAAATTAGGCACAACAAACTTGTCTTTTTGATTGGTATGTCATGATTTCAGCGATATACAAAACATCGCTGATGTATTTTGCATATGCGCCTAATTTCTGCGCCTGATTCTCTTATTAGCCTTTATCATCTCTTATCTGAATCTCGTATACCGTAAAAATAACTCGCGACGAAAATATTCGTCTAGTCTTTATATGTAAATTCGATAATAGTCGGGGGGAGGGAAAAAGTCGCGAGAGAGAAAATGGGGAAAGGTCGAGAAAATGAATTGACATCGATCGCGCGGGACGTATAATCAAATATATACATATACGTATATATACATAGCGTACAACGTATAAAACGCCTCTAATCGGCATTGCCGTACATATCCGCGTATTCTTCCGCGCACTCGTTGGAAATATCTACATGCATCGTTATCTGTTCCTCTCTCGGGACCGCGTAACCGGATATATATTCGCACGAACGTGTGTGTTACCCGAAGCATGATAGTACTTCGATAACAACTTCACGGTTACGAACGAAACTCGTTCGAGTAAATAGACAGGGCAGTTTTGGCGCACGAACTTGACGAGCGAGATAGGGCGATATCTTATGTGCAACGTACAGCCGAGAGTATCGACAACCGGGATGTTTACGTTCTTCCCGGGGGCTTCATGTACTCGGAAGTAGGCAACTTGAGTTTCTTAGCGAGTTTACGACCTGTCTTCTGCTAGGACTTGCCTTCGCGAATTTCGTAAATTAATCAACCCCACTGCGATTTTTGCGGACACGAATGAATATATATATATATTTTTTTTTAATGTATATTTATCTAGAATTGTACATGGAATTTTAAAGAATTATATTAGCCTTGACGATGCAAATAATTGTTAAGATAATTCGAGCAACAGATAAAAAGTTCGAATTAAAACAAGGGACGTTTTGAAAAAGCTTTTATTTCGGTTTCCTTTAGATGGCATACATAAAATGTCAAACAAAGAACAAGTAATTTAATTTTTTTTAATTGTAAGCATAATCTGAAATCTTATCTTTATCATTTCTTTTTTATCCTTGATCTCGTTATATAATAGATGCACGATAGATTTTATACCCGCTTAAGTCTAATTAAAGCCAATATTATCTACTCATTAGCGGCATGCTTTCTTTTATAGCTGACCCTATAAAATTCTTAATTATGCGACTCGTTTAATCGTTGAACTTATCGCGGAAAGTAGAGATTTTATTTTCCGCGATATCGCGGAAATTGACGTGTAAGTTTTATCAATGTCGAGATCTGCGAAAAAAATGCCGAACAGCGGATTATCGACAGGTCCACTTTACATAATTAGGGCAAATACGGGGAATACTACGAATGTGGTACGAAGGCACACTTGACGTATCGGTACTGACCTTCTTAACTTGAAAGTGCTCCGTCCTCAGGTTCTCGACGATCTCTTGGTCGGGCTTGACGGGCTGCGGGACCGACGACCGGAACCCGTCGAGTACACCCTTGATCGTGAACTTCTTCATCGCGTCTGCCAAATAGGGTCGGCCACTCGGGGGGGATCACATGTGCAATCGCGCCGTTTCGTCCCTCCGTCCGTCCGTCCGTCCGTCCGTTTTACGTTTCTCTGCGAAATCACGGTCAGGATTTTAAGAAGATTTAGGCTCGTCGCGATCTCGACTCCTCAACGAGCTCAAGCTCGTTCGCGGAAATCCAATGACATGTTCGCTCTGTCTCTCTCTCTCTCTCTCTCTCGCTCCCTCTTTCTTTCTTCCTTCCTCTCTCGACACGGGTCGACTCTCCCGACACGGTGGACGTTGCTCTGCCGCGGCGCCGATCCTCTACATCTTGACAGTACGTGTCAGCGGGGTGCTTCGACGGGATGCGAACGCGATGCCTCCCCCTGCTCGTGTCACGCACCAAATCTCCGGGATTAGAGGTAACTCCGAGACGCGCACGAGGACGGTTTTTAATCAGTCAACGCTTTTACGCCGAGCGCGAACGCGGCCGAGACGTGGCGAGAATTGTTTTCGTACTTGACGGCAATGCGGTGTTGTTTAATCGCGCCAGGATCAATAACTGGCAACAGGCTCATGTGGACTTTCGCACGGTTGCGAGCGCGAGCTGCGCACGCGCGGTACGCCGACACGCCACTGCGCATGCGCGACCGATCGCGCGCGTGATTGGTCGGCTCGCTCGGCGCGTCGTCTGCTACGTTCGCGAGGGCTGGCTGACTTTCGAGCAACTTCACACGTTAAAAATCCGCAAAATGCTAATACGCCGATCGCGCTATTCGAAAGCTGAATAATCGATATTGCTATTCGGCCTATTACGTAATTACAAATAATGCCGTTTCGCAAACTTGCGCTTCATTAATTTCGTGCTTTCATGGAAATGTGCCTTTGCGTGCCTCACGTTGGTTTATTGTTATTTGGCTAAACTGCCGATAACCTCAATGCTGGCATTTTTTATTCCACATTGATATTTCGATTTTACGATTTTGACATAAACTTTGCATATTTTATAGGTATATCTTGATTCGTAAACGGAATATATTTTTTTTATCGTTCATGCCAGAATCAAATATCGAGCATTCAAACATTGATGACAAATTTCCTTAATTTTAACCGGTTATGTATTAATATTTCAGAATTTATGGAAGCGAGGATTATCTAAAAACGTAGCAAGTACACACATCAAAGTCGGAATACGATGACAAATACAGGAGGTAAAGTAATCGCTAATTTGCGAGAAAAGTTTGTTTATCACAAAGCAATACAATGGTTCCCTGGACATATGACAAAGGGTTTGAGACAGATGCAGCAACAATTAAAAAATGTCGATTGCATCATAGAAGTTCACGATGCACGAGTACCAATTTCTGGCCGTTATGCGGACTTCAGCAGAACTTTGACGGGCTTGAAACCGCATATATTTGTATTGAGCAAAATGGATCTAGCTGATACAAAATATAGAGAAAGCATAGTGTCTACATTAAATAGAGAGGGCTTATCCAATATAATATTTACAAATCTCAAAGATGAGCAATGCAAAAATGCAAAAAAAATTTTACCCTTAGCTAAAAAGTTAATATCTAATTCAGCACGTTATAATAGAATCGAGGAAGAATCTTATTCCATAATGGTTATTGGGTGCCCAATGTTGGAAAGTCCTCTCTAATTAATCGTTTAAGAAACACTCATCTTAACAGGGCCAAAGCTGCTCATGTTGGTGGAGTAGCAGGCATTACACGATCCTTGTCGACTCGCATAAAGATATCGGAAGACCCATTAATATATCTGTTTGATACACCAGGTATTTTAGTTCCTTCTATTAAGGACATTCATGCTGGTTTCAAATTGGCTTTAGTAGGCTGTTTGCAAGATCATGTGATAGGAGCGGATGTACTTGCAGATTACTTACTGTTCTGGTTAAATAAAAATGAACGATTTGAATATGTAGAAAAACTAGGTTTGCCAGAACCAAATGACAATGTGATACATTTACTTACATTTATTGCTGCAAAGTTTCAAAGAACAATAAAAATAAAAAGCTATGATGGACGAACAGAAACTGTACCAAATTTGCAATTTGCAGCAGAACATTTTGTTGGATTATTTAGAAAAGGAATGTTAGGGTCTTATTGCTTAGATATAGATTTAATGGAAACGTTACAAGATTGCGACATTAGATTAGCGTAATAATAATGATAATTATATGTAAATATTATATAAAAATAAGTATATTTTTAATTGAAAAAAAATACAAATTTGTTCATAAATTTTATATATCATATTTTGAATGACCTTGTGAAAACTAGAGAACTATAATTTAGAAAAAAAGAATTATCTCCCATTTATCTCACACACATCCTTGAAGGATAAAATACTTTCACTGTTAATTTTTCGTATATTAAAACATAATGGAGAATTTTATTTTAAACTTCTTAGTTTATAATACATATATTTATATATTTAAAATTATGTACATTAAATTTCATAATATAAAATATTTGAAAAGGTAAAGTTCGAACAAACTATGATACACTTAACCAAAAGAGCATATCTCGCTACATCTTTCCCCCCCATTATCTCGTCTTCTTTTAAATCTTCAGTCGTGTCTCTACTTTGTATTCTGCTGGAGTAGGTCAACCGGTCATACATGGAATCATTTAGCTTCACAAAAGCCAGCTTCCGTTTCTTTCATTCTTCTCAACATTTCCAAAATAAGTGTCCACACGAACGTATCGCATCGGAGAAAGAAGCGAGATAACGGGAAAATTACAAATTAATTGATATAGTTTTCGATTTACATTTAGTGATGAAATTTACCGTTATGTTTACATCAGGTCGGGAACTTTAATGTTGAGGGAAAATTTTACTCTTTGAGATACACTTTTAATCATTTCATTCGAACTAATACGACACTTTTGGAATTAATTCATATAGCAAAGATGTTTGCGAGAGTCACGTTTTATCCAACCTTATTTTACAACGTCGTTATGGAAAAGATTACGACCAGGAATTGGTACGATAGGATAGACGAAACAGTTATACTGGGCGCCTTACCATTCCGGCGATCGACGAAGCAGGTATATTCTCTACAATTTTAATTCATAGTTTTCTTTTATTAAATTTTATAGAAAAACAGTAGTTTATACGATAAATTTTCTAGTTTTTCAACATTTATTTCACATTATCAATTCTGAAATCAATTCTTGAAATACGATAAAATAAGATACAATATGATGCATGTGCAATTTATACTGTTATACTTTTCCTCATATATTTTTATAAAAACTCATAAAAAATCATGAACATAATAGTTCTTTTGATGAAAATAGAAGATAAGTTCTTGAATAAAATCCATAATCTTTTTACTCATAATATTTATGATCTTCCTTCTGCTTTTTCCTTTCTTCAAAATCTTGTTTTAAATCTTATTATTTTATTTTATATATATATATATATATATATATATATATATGTCCAACAAGATATCACAAAATACCTTTATATACTTAATATATAAAATGTATGTGTTTTATAATATATATCTGTATTGCAATATATAAAAAATGTCATCATATATTTTAAATGTAAATTATTTGGACACTACAGCTTCATGTAACAACTATTAAATTATAATGTAAATGTTGGACTAATGTTATTACAGATTATTTACATTTTACACAATTTCTTTTCTGTTTCAGTTAGTTGATGATGAAAATATTAAGGCTGTTGTATCCATGAACGAAGATTATGAGTTATCTTTATTATCTAACACAGAAAAGGTATGTGTGGCAAGATAAGACTTAGATTTTGAAAATAAAATTACATAACGAAAAAGCTAGCATATATCAAAGTAATCTTATATGTGCAAATTAGTAATATTGTTTTTCTCCATCAGGAATGGCGCAGCCACAATGTAGAATTTCTACAATTATCTACAACAGATATTTTCAAGCACCCTGTCAGGAAAAACTACAAAACGGTGTTAATTTTATTAATAAATTTCGCTCTATATCCACTAGAAAACTGGGTAATCCATCAGATACTATTAATGGAAACAGTCAACCTGGCACGGTTTATGTTCATTGTAAAGCAGGAAGAACAAGAAGTGCAACATTAGTTGCGTGCTATTTAATAATAGTGAGATAATATGGCATTATTTAAATATAAAAGCCTTCAAAGATTATATGAATCATTAAATCATAAAATGTTTTATTCTAGAAAAATAATTGGACGCCCGAAGAAGCAGTAAATTTCATGCGAACAAAAAGGCCACATATACTACTCCATACAGCGCAATGGTCTGCGTTAGAGCAATTTTATGCAGAACATATACAATCTAAATCGTAATCAAAAGTTTTCTATACACACACACACACACACATATATATATATATATAATTTTATTACATTATTTATATAAATAAAGATGTATAAATATATAAATAAATGATGTTATATTTTAGATATTATGCTGTCTATATACATAATATATACTTGCTAATTTGAATATAGCAAAGTAGAGAGTGAAGAGATAAACTAATCAATCATAAATATGAATTTATTACAATTGTATTTTTAGTGCAAATCATTTGTAACAAGTATAATTACTTATCGATTTTTATTAATAAGCTCAACCTTTTTTACATGTATGGATGCAAATTTAGTAGCTTCGATTACTGCTCTTTCTATATATGTCTGAAAATCTTGTGACACATGTGTAGATTTCATACTCGCAATTAACATGGGTTTGAATCCTTTAATAGGTCCTTGCTTTGCATTAAAAGTTTGTAAAACGACATCCATCCAGATTTGTGCATTAAATGCATCAGACACCATTTCCTACATAGAATAATAATCACTTATCCAGATAATATAATTTGAATATAAATTATATATTGCATATCACTGCATATACATATACATACTCATAATCTATATCAAAATGTACATTTAAATGTGAATGAAATATAATACCTGTGGTATCGAACATCTTGCCTTTACAGATCCATTGGTATTGGATAAAACTAATATTGGTAGTTTAGGAAAGAGAGATACAACTTCGTGTAATGATAAATATCTGGGATTTTCGTTTAGACAATGTATGATAAAGCAAGATGAATCCATGGCATCAGTGATTTCACGAATTATAGAAACCCTATAAAATGTCATTATTTAGAATTCAGCAGATGATAAGTTGGATAATGATAAGATATGCAATATTACATACTTCTCGATTTCTTTCTCTTGCAACCATATTGCTTTGCTCAAATTCTCTAAGTTTGTCAAGCATTTCTGTTTGATCACATAAGGTAATGATATTTGTATATTTGGATCATTAATTTCCTGTTTTATTTGATTTATTTCTTCTTTAAATTGTTCATATGTGAGTTTCCCACTTTTTAATATTTCTTCTAGCTCTGCAATTCTCTGACACATTCTTTCACCAGCCTGTTTCATACGTACAGCTTCTCTGCCGACAACAGCTTTAACAGTGCGCTTTGTTGCTCCCTTTGAAGTATACATTAAAAAGCAAAAGTGTTGTAAAACACTTGTATTATGTACATGAGTACCGCAACACGTTTCCCTAGAAACATATACAATAGATATTAATTGCTAAATAAAAGTAGAAAATTCTTTGATATTTAAAATTTACATTTACTAACTTTGCTTTCAAACTGTCAGCATTAATTTCTATGACTCTAATGCCTGTATAAGGATATATTTCTCCAGGGATCAATGTAACATCATCTTGTTTTAATAGTTCGAGTAAATTTAAAATTTGTACAGTTGTTGCAGCATGGGTTTGTATAATATTGTTAATGCAATTTTCTATTATTCTCATTTGTTCCAATGTAAGTTGTTCGCCAAATGAATTGAATTGCAATTTTAAATTATCTACATTGACTGTAGAACCATTTTGATAAACTACTTGCATAACCTGTTTTAGGGCTGCATTCAATAAATGTGCTGCTGTATGATGTTTCATAACTTCAACACGAATATTTGGTTCTATATTGACTAGACAATCGTCTCCTATTTGTAAATACAATTCTGATGTGCTAAAAAAATGTATAAATGTATTATTCAATATATTATTTTTTACAGTAATATAATTAAATGGAATAATTTTATATAATCATCTAAATATAGAAAAAATATAAAAGATATTTACGGTAAATCTGTTTTGGCAAAATGGCCAGAATGAATCACATAGCCGTTAACTTTTCTGACATTATCTATGTTGAAAAACAGATTCTTGATACAAATGTTTCCTTTATCTGAAACTTGACCACCTTCTAATGAATAGCACATAGTCTTATCCAATATAATACCAATTTCATTGGTACTATTTAATATCTCATCAATGTTTATAGCTTTTCTATTATTAATTTTTGTAGTTTTGGAATTTTCATTTATAATTAATTTACCTATAAATATAAAATAGATAATATTTTAAAGTTACATTATAAATTTAATCACAGGGAATATGACAGATAATATATATATATAGGATTTACTTTAATGTTACCATTGATAATAATGCCAAGGAGTTTGCTGTTAAGTGTTGGAAATTCATAATTACTTCCATTGTATGTATAATTGTATTTGAATGAATCATTTGTCTTAGATACATGATTTTCTTCAAGTATTCTCAAAGATTCTTTAGTAAGTATACTACATTTGTCTAAGCCAATTCTTGATTGATATCTACAATTATCAAGTTGCTTTTCAAAATCAATTTGATCAAAATGTAAAGACTCAATTTGTGCTAGTTCTGCTATAGTTTCTGAATTAAGGCCATATGTATCATATAGTTTAAATGCGACAGATCCAGGTAACACATTAGTTTCACGCCTGTAAATCATATAAATTATTAAATATATTAATATATTATATATGTTATAAAAACAGATGCAAATAAGCGATTTCTTTATCAATATCAAACTCTTATTGTGTTTTAAATATCTTACAACTCTTTTAACACGGATTGTAATTCTTTATAGCCATCAACTAAACCAGGAGCCATCCAATCAGTGATCGATGCTAATTCAGGACGAACTTCAACCATCTTATTCCACTTTTTACCAGAAGTATTCCGCAATCTTTTGAATAAATCTTCTTCAAAGTCTATTATCCTTTGTACCTGAAATTGAATCCAACAATATTATTGAGATAATATAAAATATGGTGCCCTTTTTTTAAACAACTTTGATAATCTTATATTATTACCTGTTTTAAATTATTGTGTAATTCTGGATAAGCTGCACCCAGGTTATCAGCCACAATACAGGCAAGTTCAGTAACTATGCCAGGTTTTTTGAATATTCTCTCTGCCACGTCTATCGTATTCCGTAATATTCTCCGTAGTTTATGGCTGGTAAATAATAATATCTTTTTATTTCTATTATATTTATACATGTATTTAATGAAAATATATAAGAAAATTTCATAGATATTGAAATAATCACATACTGTTGCTCCGGTAACATTATCAGCAATGCAATAGTAACCATTCTCGCGTGATCTGCGAGAATTCTGTAACCATAATCAATTTTGCCTATATCATCATTATTAAATGTCCCTTTATATTTTGGAGCGTTCGAATGCTTTTGTATCGCATCAAATAATGGCTGGAACAGATCTGTATCGTAATTTGATTTTTTTCCTTGTAAGAAGGTAACTAATCTTTCAAGTCCCATGCCTGTATCAACATGATGTTTTGATAAAGGTACTATACATCCATTTGCAAGCCTGATATAAAATATGATATTTAATAGACTATGCAATTTTATATAATTATTAAATTTGTGATATATGGAAGAGAGGCTTTAACAATATTCAGAAAGATCACAATAATGTACAAAGTAATAAGATATAGTAAAATATTGTTTTGTGATTTAAGTTAAAGCACTCAATGTTTCATAACAGAAATTGATAACTCACCTTTCATATTGTATAAAAACTATATTCCACAATTCCATAAGATCTGCATATCCTTTATTCACTCGTGCAGCCTGATTAGTACTTCTTTTCATATAGTCTACATGTATTTCTGTGCAAGGTCCACAAGGACCGATACACCCATTTCCCAGAAATTGTCTTTTATACCAAAAGGTAGAACTTTGCTTTCTGGAAGACCGAGTTTTAACCAAATATTTTTGCATTCCAGATCTGGACCTATGCCCAACTTCTCATTACCACCGAAATATGTTACATATAGACATTCTTCAGGTACACCATACACATTTGTTAAAAGATTCCAGGCATATGTACAAGCATCTTCCTGAGAACAATAAGATTATATAAATAAGTATCTGGTGGGTTTTGACAAATATATGAATAATATATTGTACTGTGTCTTATACTTTGAAATAATCTCCAAAGGACCAATTGCCAAGCATTTCGAAGAACGTATGATGATAGCTATCGTTACCAACAACACTTAAATCATTGTGCTTTCCGCCAACTCTAATACATTTTTGCGAGTTGACAATCTTTGTCGCAGGTGGTTCATAATAATCTAAGAAGATTCCTTTAAACTGAAGAAACGTTGTGACGTAAGAAACTTATCAGATTTCTTAATAGAAATAAGTTTTATTAAACTGAAGAGGTGTTGCGATGTAAAAAACTTATATTTATCAGATTTCTTAATAGAAATAAATTATATTTAAAAAAACATACCTGATTCATACCAGCATTGATGAATGCTAGTGATTGATCAGCAATTGGAGAGACAGGACTGGAACGAATAATACTGTGTTTCAAATCCTTAGAAAAGTAATCTAAAAATTCCTTTCTGATCAAGTTAGCAGATTTGTTGTTGCTAAAACTGATTATACGATCGAATTAATTTATAATAGGTCATTCTTTTGTTACAGGATTAATTATCGCGCATAAATAATACATAATATAAACAATTAAAGTCAGCTTTTATAAAAATCTACATGTAAACAATAGGAATCATTGGAGATCGCTCTGTGTTGCGAGGTTAGATGTGCAAAAAATCTAATCAATATTCATCTGATAAATACACGTAACGTAATCAATTTAAAATGTTCTATCAATATATTAATAAAGTTTAAAAACTTCGGACTTTCTAAAATGCAGATGCATTATTGATAAGAATCGATAATAATTAATACATAAATATGTGGGAAAAAATATATTTTAAAAATTCGCGCCAAAATTTTAACGCGCCATCTTTTATCAAATCGATATTTTCTAATATCGAATCGACTTATCAAAACTCGCAACCTCATTGTCAATTCATTTATTCCACAATGTATATCTGCAATAGTATGAGAATATATCTAATTATTTTAAGATTCTCATTAATAACATATTTATAATATTTTTATTCGTACTTTTCACTCGCTATTACACTCTATTATCTACATCGAGAAATTATATCAGATCTATATATCAGTAAAATATATAATATATATTCGATAAGAAATAAATCAAACTATATGAAATCAAGTTGCAATCAAATAAATCATAGGAACTATAATTTTGTGATAAAAATAGGAGACCACACACACACACACACACACACACACACACACACACACACATATATATATATATATATATATATATATATAATATATATGATTCAAAAAATTATTTATTTATAATTATTTTTCATTTTAGCTTGATTTATCTCTTATCGAATATTTTCTTAATAATTTTAATATATTATACATATCTTCTTTTGATTATTTTTATGCATATATGACAAGACGATATACATACATATATATATATAATTATATATATATATATATATATATATATATCTATATATATATATATATATATATATATATATATATATATATATATATATATATAAATAAATACATGCATCATATTTATAGATTCGTCTGTCACATGATTATGAAATTCTGCTTATTCTGCTATCTATAGTTCAGTCGAGTGTTATTGGTTGTCCAGCTTGGTGCTGATTGAATACCAAGGAGAGAAAAAGATAGGTTAGCCAGAGAAATTCAGAGTCATCTTTTATACAGTTCTCGGTTAGCTAAAGAAAAGCGATATGTAAGTATTATTCGTTATGCGAAAAAATTTTTGAACAAGGCTATATTACTTTTTGTTTTCTTACATTGTGCAATAAAAGATATGTATTTTTATAGTTTGTGAGAATAAATCGTTATTGCAACATGACATCTCACAAGGAAAACGAGAATCTTGTTATATTAGGAAATGAATCGTCTTTCCTAATGATACGATAGAATTTAATTCTACGATCAAGCAACATTTTGGACACCTTGGAAAAATGCATACCATCAAATTATTGGATTTAAAAAAAGGTATATTTTATCTGAATTAAAGCATCAATTATTGTTATAAGTAATTATTGGTACATACACACATGGTTTCAAAATTGTCTTTAATTATTGTTTACATACAATGATTAAAAATATACATTTGTTTTATATGTTGTTTTAGAAAATTACAATGCATCTGCTTTTAATGTCGTTATTGCCATTTTTATACAACCATGCACCAACGATGAGTTTTTAACGGATACTCTGAGAATTTGAAGCCTAATGGCTCACTTGTCATTTACGAACCATTACCAGTGAAGAAAAAGTCAGATACACAACTTACCTATTCTGAAAGAATATCTAGATTGAAGTTACATGGCTTTATAGTAAAAAATATAGAACGAAATACATTGGACCAAGATTTAGAGAAAAATCTTTTGTCGACTGTATATAGCAATGCAGAAGATATTTGCAAAATATTAGCAAGTAAACCATCATTCGAGGTTAGTTATATATTAGTTTGCATCTTATTCAACAAAAGAAAAACTTTTAATATATCTTTTTTTTATTATTTAGGTGGGTTCTAGTGTTCCTCTATCATTTACAAAAACAAAAAATGTATGGAAGGTAGATGATTTGATAGATGAAGATGAACTTTTAGATGAGTCAGATCTTGTGAAACCAGATGCATCAGCATTAAAAGGTAAAGTTAACATATAATTATAAATATTAAATATATGTTAATTTTATATAGTATAATTAGATAAACAATTTACATAAATTAATTACATCTGTTTTTTTCAGTTTGTGCAACAACAGGCAAACGAAAAGCATGTAAGGATTGTACATGTGGACTTGCAGAAGAATTAAGTAACAACACCATACAGAAAGGCACTGTTAAATCCTCTTGTGGAAATGTATGTATCTTATTGTTGTTATCGTAATGAAACTTTATATACATATATTTAATTATTTGATTATACAAATTAAATATTAATTCTAAATTTTTAATGAATTTTTTATAGTGTTATCTTGGAGATGCATTTAGATGTGCTAGTTGTCCTTATCTTGGAATGCCCGCCTTTAAACCAGGAGAAAAAGTAGTTGTACCTGACAGTCAGTTAACTATTGATTCCTAAATTCTACTTTTTCATGGATATAATGGCATATCTTTTCATTTCAATCAAGGGAAATGATTGTGTACTGTTTTTATATAATTTTATCAAATTATTTTTATTTTAGCTATTTTTCTGGTATATATATTTATATGTAAAAGATATGGATATAATACAATTTTTCCTTGAGTAAAAATAATAATAATTTGAACTATAGCCTATTTATCAATAAATTTTTTAAGTGTAACAATATACTAAACAATAATATAAAAAGAAATAATTATCAATAATAAGAATATCTAACATACATAATGAAATGTATATAATTTTCATATTATAATTAAGAATCTTCAAATATATTTCATTAAATAATACAGAAAACTGAAATATATATATATATATATATATACACATAATATATAGTAATAGATAATATATATATATATAGTAATAGATATATATATATATATATAAATAAATATAAATTATTATGTGTACTATAAACACACTATATACATATATTATAATGTACTAACTTTTTCTAATATGAAGCTTTAGGCGCGTTCCATTTGACGCTCACGAGCGTTATCTGTTTTTGTCTTACTTGGCGAACAACAAGGATGAAATGATTTCGTGAGCGTTGCAAACGTTAAGTGGAACGGGCCTTTCATTTAATCTTTACTCAATTTTTAACCTCGAGAAATCTTTAGATTATAGGAAAATATAATTTGACGAGAGGGTGAGTCTCAAATTTAGAGTTCAGAGGTTAACTTCAAGATAATTAGGACATTATTTACAGGAATTTAGTATTTAAATTTGAAGCTAACTTTAGTTTGGTTGGTATATATTGTATATTTATTAATATATTATATTGTTAGTATATCTTGTTTAGATATCTGTACATGAAATGTATTCTCATAACTCGCGATTTTTTCTCGAAGATATAATGAACGAAATCTCATTTTAACCTCTACCCAGATAACCACAGTAATTATTATAACATCATTTTGATGTCAAAATGTATCATTTGCCATCAAAATAATGTCATAATAATTACTGTGGCTATCTGGGTATATTGCTATAAATATTTATTACTATATAAATATTAAAAATTTGCAATTTAATTTAAATTATTTTATAAAAAAATGGTCAAATCCAACTTATTTAGACTATTAGCATGTAGCTTTAAATCTTAATACATATGTTTATTACAAACATATTATACTTATATAATATTTTACAGCTACAAGATAACATTTTCAATAAATGTTCCATGTTCATAGTATTATTAAAACTTTCCTATCTATCATTATCTGTTTATATATATATGTAACTTATTTTTTAAAAAATTGTTTTTTTTATCATACAGTCATAATGCACGTTATTGCAATATGCAAATCTTTACAATTACATTTTATTATTTTGAGCTTTCTAGTGCATCTTAAATCAATTTGAAGTCAAAATAATTTGTAGTTAATCTAAATAATATATTACGATATTTAAATCGTAAATTCAATCTTCGATTTCTAGATGATCGCCGCCCATGGCTTTCCAAAAGGCAGCAACTATTTGTTCAGCCACTGCGCGCCTTTCATTTGATGGTAAAGATGCTATCTGTTCTTTCATGGCCATAAATTGACCTAATAGTTCTCCAAAGTCTGCATTTTCATCACCCAAAATGCCATCTGCCCAAAAAAACATCTGATAAGAAACAATATACTTTACACATTTATCTTTATGATTCTTGATCTGTACTGACCAATTATGTCTTGCACATGTAGCCTTTCAGAAAGATCATGTGTTAATTGAATATTTTCAAATTGTTCTCCAATTTCATTAACTTCGTGTGTTTCATCCGCACATGGTTTATCTGGTAACAAAACAACATATTTTAATTTTTGTATAAAGAGATGAAAAGTATGTCTATATTTTCATTTCAACAGCAGAAATCTTGTGATACACTACTTTTAAGTATAATATTAGGCCATGTGTGAGCATGTAGAGCTTCTATGATTCTTTCAATACCATATTTGTTACCCTCTGTATCAGATTCTGAGTCTCCTGTTTGATCTAATTCAACCAGTTCAAATTTATTGTGTAAACACCAATTTAATACTGAAAGATATAAAATAATTAAATTTACAATAACTTAAATAACTTTGAATAAACATTGCATATATTCACAAAACATATACAATATAGAACATGAAATTATTCAGATATCATAATCAATATTTTCTATATCATAACATATGCATACCTTTATCTCGTAGAAGTGTATCAGTTATTGCACTGCAGGAAAATAAAAATACTTCTGCTGTTGTTAATGAATTAGATAACGATGCCAAATACTCTAGTTCTTGATCCACAGTGTGCTATAGAAATTGAACGACATTAATGCATTTGGCAATTTAATCACTAAATATATAATAACTATCAGTGCAATTAGGTATCTTACTGCCTGTGGATCATGGTACACAATCAACGCATTGATTCCTTCCATTGGAAGTTTACAGGATTTACTTTCTGTGGTGCGCACCAAGATCTGTGATGTGTAATATTTGTTGTCAATATTCCACAGATAATCCACAATGTCATTTTCCTCAGATAAATGTTCCGCACCTATATCTGTATTGGACAACAAATCAAAATCAATACACCTAAAGTATAATGTTATAAGAACTTGAAAGAAGAATTATAAAAGTTTTATAAAAAATTATATTACTTAGGCAAAAATGATAGAAAAATCGTGGGCTGTAGTTTCATAAAAGCTATTTGAATATACACAATGTTAATATTTGTACTCACTTTCTGCAATTTCCTTAGCTTTTCCTTCTTTCGTACTAACGATCAATACTCGAGGTAAACTCATTATAGACAATTAAAATTTATATTCAAGAATTGTTAATAAAATTTGATTGAGCTATAACTGATGTGTGAACAAAGTTATTAGGTTAGAACAGATATTTTGTGTGACGACCTTCTGACGAAGACAGTACTATATACACTTGTGTATTAGAGAAAGAAAACATTATATACATATATGTAATATACACACATGCGCGCGCGCATGTTTGTATATTTTATTGTTATAGAATGAAAAAAATATATCTATATACATATATACATGTATGTACATGCATATGTATATACAAAAACAAAATATATATAGTCACAAAATATATATAGTCAACAAAATATATATATACACAATATATATATAGTCTGAAAGGCTACATGTACAAGACATAATTGGTCAGTACAGATCAAGAATCATATAAAGATAAATGTGTAAAGTATATTGTTACTTATATATATATATATATATATATATATATAGTATATATATCCTGCTTAATAGTAAAAATTGTTTTGTTAACAATATATATTTTACACAATCAATAATATATATATGCTATATTTTTTAATAGTATATTTAAAAGACCAAAGGATATTGCAATGATAAAAAGTGCGCGAAAAAATTCAAGTTTTTTTAAATTTTTAAATACTATATATATATATATATATAGTATTTAAAAATTTAGAAAAACTTGAATTTTTTTCGCGCACTTTTTATCATTGCAATATCCTTTGGTCTTTTAAATATATACTATTAAAAAATATAGCATATATATATTATTGATTGTGTAAAATATATATTGTTAACAGAACAATTTTTACTATTAAGCAGGATGCACATTTTCGTTAGGCTAGCTAAATCATTTATTTATTAATATTTTTACATTTTGCTTGAATTGCATTACGTCAATAGATACGATACAACATCACTGACACGCATGACGGATGTCCTGAAAAAGATAATTTGTTGTAAATATATACCGATTTATAAATATATAGATATGAGAATCCATGTTGACCATGAGATTCTATACGTGTTGACTATATCGACTAATTATGATAAAAATATTACTGTTTTCAGTTAAAACTTATCCAATGTGACAGGAAAATTGTGCATTAGTGTGAAGTGATAAATATCTTTTTCTTGTGTACGTGAAGTATACGAAGTTACATATAAAAGTTATATATAAATATTATTATTTAACATTTTCGATAAAGTGAAATAAAACAATTTAAAATATTTTATTTAATTATTTAAATTTATTAAGTTATTATTTCTTCATCATTTATTGTTTATTATGAGTAAATTGTATTTTTCGATAATTCATATTTTTGAAAATATCGAGATGTCTGTATTTTTTAACATTAGCAGAAATTTGTAAGAAAGAAAGTAGAAAACTGTGAAAAAAACTAACATTTTGAATTAGCAGAAAGGAGAAAAAGAATAGAATAATTTATTATATTATAAGCACTATTATTTTATTAATTAAATCAGCAGGATGAAAGATGCAGCTCTGTCCTTCGACTCTATCAAGTTAATTACTACATATTTTCGCATATCAACGAGCATGTCGGGGGTCTTTCCGCCCGAAGAAAAAACATATAAAAGGGTAACTGCAATAAATGACTTTCATATTGCGGTAAAGAACGTTACAATTCATTAATTGTGTAATTAAAATCCCTATCGGCCGCAGATTTTTCTGCGAACATGGGGAGATTCATTCTTCTGTAAGTAGCTTATAATAATTACTTCTTGAACACGGTAACTGATTGCTCTAATTTTGTAATATATATATATATATATATATATATATATATATATTTATATTAATATTTTATATTATATATATATACAGATTCTGTTTTTTTTTTAAATATATATATATATATATAGTGTTTAAAAAATAAAATATTCAATACCTCGATAATTCAATCATTATCTATCAAAAATATTCAAGCGACGAATATAGATATATATATTCTTTGCATATCCTTTATTTGTAATTATTTTATAATTAACTATATTTTTTTCTTGGATGTCTCTTTTTATAGAGTCTTGATTGGTGCATTTTTAATAAAGAATGCTGCATCATCATCAATTCATCATGCATATCCTAAAAATCTGGCATGGTTATTTGGTTTGAACGAAAATAAACTAAATGAAAACAAGCAGGAGACGACAGGGAATGTGTGTACAAGCAAGGAATGCGAATCAATTGGTATTGAAAACAGTTAATCTAATTAAAACTTTAATAATTTTAAGTGTTTAATCACCTTTATTGAAAATTAGGTATTTTAATTTATTCTTTTTTATTTTTTCCCAGGTAAGATAATATCGCAGAGTATAAACCCATCTGTAGATCCGTGCGACGACTTCTACGAATATGCTTGTGGAAATTGGGCGGAACATAATCCCATTCCAGAAGGATACGCTGCGTGGAGTTTATTTAATAAGCTCCAAGCGAAAGTACAAGAACAAGTAGACAGTAATTATATGTAATCTGTTATTGGTTGCATCAATTTTCTAAACTTCCACTCTAATAACATTATTAATAAATTCTGCAGATATTTTGGCAGAAGAACCTAAAAAAAATGATATTTTGGCGTTAAAACTTGCAAAAAAATGGTATACGGTCTGCATGGATACAGGTAAGTCTATCAGTGTAGCTTTCGAATCGTCGAATTGCTACATAAAAATTATTTTTTCATGATATACTAATTTATTATATGCTTTACAGATGCGATGGACAAGGAAGGGCTTGATAAAATACTTGTCACTCTATCGCGTATAGGCGGTTGGCCGATGACAATGGAGCCAGACGAATGGAATGAGGAAGAATATAGTTGGCAAAAAGTAGACGATCAATATGTGCGCTTGACAGGAAGGAATGCTTTTCATGATGTTCGCGTAAACGGTTATTCACCAAATAAGACCGTACAGGTCAGAAAAATTATAAATTATTTTTACTTTTTTAAATTAATATTATACATCTTATTTTTTATATATCTGTAATCTTATATATATATATATACTTTTTACTGTTTAATATTATTAATATATATTCTTATTTCAGCTGATAAGAATATATATTTAATATATATTTTTATTTCAGCTAAAATTTGTGATAGATGAACTGTGATATCTTTACATTATTTTTATTATACACATTGCGTATTGCGGAATAGATAATTTGAAAATATCCGTTTTGATTTTTGTCAATGATCTTTATTGTATTTTTTATATATATTTTTATTATTAGATCGATGTTCCACATTTACCTTCGGGTACATTGAAACTATGGCTTGAAAACTGGATTGAGAATGAAGATTTTGAAGATGATGATAATGAAGATCCAAGTAATGAAGAACAGACCGAGGAGGATAATGAGGTGTCTGGAAGCGGAGATAACGAAATTTACGATGACGACGAAGATGATGATGACGACGAAGATGACTATGACGATGACGATGACGATGACGATGACGATGACGATGACGATGACGATGACGATGACGATGACGATGACGATGAATGAATGACTATGACGATGAAGATGAAGATGAAGATAGTGAAGATGACGATGAAGATAGTGAAGATGACAATGACGACGATGATGACGAAGATGATGATGACGATGACGACGAAGATGATGATGACGATGACAACGAAGTTGATCGTGAAGATAAAGACGCTGCGAAAAAACAGAATAAAGATAAAAAAAAGAAAATTGCAAAGAGGAAAATTGGCAAGAAAAAATCCACAAACAAGTTATATCGAAAAACTCAGAAAAAAAATAAAAATATACAGCACAATAAAAAGACAAAGAGTAACACTCGAATTCTCAATAGTCATAAGATGAAGAAACAAAGAGTAAAAAGACGAGCTGTATCGACAAAGATTCATAGTAAACGCGCTCAGCATCTTACTCATCGTGAGAAATTGCAGAAGAGCAGAAGGAATCATGAAAGAAAAGTACAGGACAAAGAGAGGCTGAAGAAAACTTTGAAAACAGTCAGGTCTATAACGGCGGAAAGCACAGAAGAAACGAGTGATGAAGAAGACAGTACTACATTAACGATGGTATTATACGCTACTTACATTTTCGAAGTAGCTAGCGCTATAGCTGAAGAGAGAGGCACTGAGCTCTCAGAAGATCAATTTCTAAAGGATATCGAAGACCTGGTCGAGTTTCAGGTGAACCTAGCGCAGGTAAGTTTTTATGTTGTTATACATTATATTTTGTTATACGCACTCTCTCTCTCTCTCTCTCTCTCTCTCTCTCTATATATATATATATATATATATATATATATATCTCTTTTTATTATTCTACTATCAAGAAATTAAGAAAATTTCTTAATGATGGCATGTTTTAGATTGTTTATGATACTGAAGGGGAAGGGGAAGAGCTGAAGTTGACGCTCGATGAATTCCAACAATGGTATGATGAAAAAAAGCCTGATACTGTTAATAGAAATGTAAGTTATTTTTTTGTAAATTAATTTCGTTTTATTTTTACAATATATTATTCTTACATTCTTTATGGTTGAATTAACATTAATAAAATGTAATGTAAATCTTTAAAGGCGCAAATCAATTGGGTGTATAAAATTGCGGAATTATTTGACGAAGCTCATGTTCCTGTGGATGACGATTTAAATTTAAATGTTGACCAATCAGATTATTTTGAGGCTCTTGCCGATTTACTAAACGAGACACCAAGTCGAACGATCGGTGAGTTTTGAATACAATATGCGATATTAGTAATGAAATGTCATCTACATTTGCTCATGCAAAATATGTTTCAGTGAACTACATACACTGGAACTTTTTGAGCAGGATGATAGAAGCTACTACAAATGAAATGAGAGAATTATACAACGAATGGGAAGATTGGGATCCTTTGGAAGATGAAGATGAAGATGATGAAGATGAAGACGATGAAGATGAAGACGATGAAGATGAAGACGATGAAGATGATGAAGATGAAGATGAAGAAGACGAAGACAGGTTTGATATGATTTATTTTATCGTTACTCTATTTGCAATTAAGAAACATAATTATTTATTTTATAATTAAATAAGTAGAACACATTATTTTATTTTATATTACTTGTTGATTTATAGCATGGCCTTAATATGTATTAAAATATAGTTAATTTATATCATATTGAGATGTTAAAATATAATAATAAATATTGCGACAGATCATCCAAATGCTTGCGTCAGGCACAACTGCGTGACATTCTATCATACGAATATGTGAAAAGACATTACTCAGACGATATTACAAAATCTGTAAGTATTTGATTTTAATTGTTCAAACTGATGCAATTTATTTCTATTGTTATTTATAGTAGGCTTGTGTATGTGTATGTATAATACGTATATATGTGCTTTTATAATTTGTCTAATATAATCATCTATTTCTATTGTTTTATAGGCAGAGGATATGGTCGACGATATACAAAAGGAAGTAGAATATCAAATTAAAGAATCAGAATGGCTAGAGGAAGATATTAAGGATTATGTTTTGGCGAAACTAGTGAATATGAAAAAATATATTGGATATCCAGATTGGTACAGAAATAATACTATCGTTAAACAATATTTCCAAGGAGTAAGTTTCTTAATAAAAATTATTATTAGTTGTTAATATATATCCAATCCCTAAAAGACATTTTAAAACACGATGTCTTATCGTTCTTTAGATATTTTTAAGATGTTTTTTCGCCTTTTTGTGCTGTCTGCATAACGACTCTGTTATTAATTATTTTGTTTCGTTAAAGCTCATTATAGGCAAATCGTATTATGAGAATTTACTTAGCTATAGCAGATATAGTAAATGGAAACAGCTACGGGAGTTAAAGAAGCACCGTGGTGATGACGAAGAGGACGTGTAAGCTATCTTAATATTCATTTTTTCATATTTGTTAAACAATTACAATTTCTTATTTTTAAATAAATGTTAACAGCTATAATAAATGTTAATATCTAATTAATGCTAATCCTTGACAAATTTTGTGTTGCAGATGGTGGATGAGTCCTTTGACAGTAAATGCCTTCTTCTCTCCTGATGCGAATTCTATAAGTATGTGTGTGGATTTTTTAAATAAATAAGATTAATTTTTTAAAAATTGCAATTATTTCACAGGCCTTTCGGCGGCGGATTTCCAAAGTCCATTTTACGCTTCTGATCGACCACAGTAAGTGGACAATTTAATATCAATGCAGCATGTGCATAACAATAAATACAAATAAATTTACAATTGCCTTATGTTTCCATATATTAGTTCTTAATAAAACTTTTATCTAATTATATAATTTTATTCTAGGGCTGTTAATTATGGCATTGTTGGAGTTATCATGGCTCACGAAGTTAATCACGGATTCGATAATGATGGTATGTTGTGAAATAAAATTGTAGATTATTTTGCATTTTATAAACTATATTAATTGCTATATTTACAACAATGTAGTTTTCTTTTTTTCTAATTCATATATCTGAAAAATTTAATATTCTTTAAAACTGTAATATAAGAAAAAAAAATGATTTTAGGGATCTATTACGATAAGAATGGCAATAATTTAGATGATGATGATAATTTTGTGGAATGGTTATCTATATTGTCTCGAGAGTACGGCAAAAGAGCAAACTGTTTTGTACAGCAATTTAATAGTTATCCTCTTGAAAATAATTCAACTAATAAATTAAAGGTGAGTTACTTACTCTATATTAAATTGCCATCTAATTTAATTATAGTTACTGCATTTGGAAAATGTTTAATGATACATTATTGATAAAAATTATAGAATTATGGCAATCAAACGTCGGGTGAGAATATCGCGGATACAATGGGATTACAAGCCTCGTACAGGGCTTATCAAAGGAGGACAAGAGAATGCGGACAACCGGATGTGTCATTGCCGGGCTTGGAAAAAGTCACTCACGATCAACTCTACTTCCTATCTTTTGCCAATGTAAGTATTGTATGATTAAAAACTAGAAAAATAAAATTATAAATAAGAATATAAATGATTAATACAAATGAGTTAATGATAAGATTTGTGAGTTTTACTAAAAAGCGCTGCAATAAAATTTGTAGGTGTGGTGCGAAGCTACCCTTAATCCCAAAGTTAATGAGGCAATAGCTTCGAGGGACGTACATAGTACTGGACGTTTAAGAGTGATAGGATCTGTTTCGAACTCAGAAGACTTTGCCAAGGCTTTTAATTGCCCTGTTGGTAGTAAAATGAATCCCAAAAGAAAATGCAATATCTGGAAATAACGGATAAGATAAAGAAATCAAACTTGAGAGATCAATATAAAAACTCATCATCTAAAAGTATTTAACAAAAATTGTTTATCCACTTATATCGATGAATAAACTGAAACTGCAAATCGTGTAAAGAAGATTTGTCATTTGTGCATCGTGGAGTTTTTTCACAGGTTTGAAGTTTTTATTACGATCTGATCTTAATTGAAGAAAATATCTTGCGTAAATAATTTATTCAAGTATATTGATGAATGAAGTGATGCATGTATACAAAAAAAACACTTGTCATTTTTTCAAAAGTTTTCTGTAAATTCGTCATGATTACGATATGTAATTATACATAATTTTATTTTTCTTACGTTCATTTTTTATCAGACTAGTTTGAAAAGCAATGTTTGGCCAGTTTTTAATGAATTAAAAGATGAATGAAAAATTCTAGCAAAGTTTTATTGATAAGTTGCAATATTTCGTACATATAATTCATTCCTTATAAAGGACATTCAGATGTTTGAGTAATGATATGTTTATCGGCAGAATTCTTATATGCATATTCTATGCATTATTGCAACGTGATACGCGTAGATAAACACCATCATCTTACTTTTAAGAATGCGATCTAATTCAATTCAATTGAAATACGAATCTAGAGCGAATAAATATTAAACAACTGTAGATATTAAATCAAAATTCGAGGAGCATTGTGTTACGTCAAGTTCTCTGTGGACGTATGTAATACACGTGATAGACGTCTAAAATATGGTCAGACGAGAATTGAGTACATATTTTTGAACGTAATACCGATTTGATTATCGTAATTTAGTGTCATCCATTCTGTTTCTCGTGTACACCGTTCTGCTTCTCCTGTGGTTTTAATGGTTTTATTACTTCTACCTCGTTCAATTGATCAAGATCCACTTGCTGTTTCTTCTTTTTTTTCTTGGATGGTTTCCTAAAAAATTATTTTTAAACAATATGTCTTATTTAATAAAAGTAATAAATGGTATGAAATAATAAAATATCGAACATAGAAAACTTACTTTCCAAACAACTCGCCATCCCGAATCGATTCAGGAAGTTTCTTATTCAACGTCTCCGGGAGAAGAAGGGACAATGATCCACCGAATAAAGCGCACGATCCGAAAATAACGAGCGGCAACGGCGTCCATATTTCCGACTGGAAGCATGAATTGTTTCATCAGAATTTTATATAATTTATAATAATAATTACTAATCAGCAATATGTCAACATACTTCAACTTCATCTTTTTACGCTTTTTTCAGATATCAAGAAAAGCGATGAAAAGTAAGAACGTACCAAGTGATTGACATATGGCGCGATAACTCCGCCAATTCGAGCAAAAGTGGAACTCGCACCCAGTCCGACGTTTCGAATAACAGTCGGAAATTGTTCTGCAGTAAACACATAAATTGCACCGTAGGACGATGTGATAGCAAGTTTTCCTATCATCGCCAAGCAAACGATTAGCCACGACATATCTAAAATAAAACATAAACTCGTTTATAATTATAGGCTAAACATTTATAACTTTGTCGTTTTAAATGTTCGTATGACTAAAACGATTGTTATATGAAATTTTGCGATGTCATTATCTTAAATAAAATATTGTATATTATTCACCGGGAGGGACAAATAACGTAGCAAGTAATGCTAATCCGGACAACATCATACAGCCGCAAAGGATGATTTTTCTGCCCCATCGATTCAGGGTGAAGATGAGGAATGTGTACGCCGGTACTTCCACTACTCCGGATATTACAAAATTAACGTAGTCGTTACCGCCGAGATTGGATGCGTGCCAAGAAAGTCCGTAGTACGTTCCACTGTTGACCAGCCTAAATGTGTAAGTGAGAAAATTAAACTTGGTACAAAATTATCAAACATAATAAAATAAAAAACATATAACCGAGATAAAACAACTATAGTATATACCAATTGAAAAATAAGAGGATACTCTTTCGCCTCAAGTTCGGATAACGAAACAGGTCAAAGAGCGAAGGTTTTCTCGTATCTGGTGTACTATCCTCACTGTTATTATTAAGAAGTGTTTCTAGAGCTTCATTCGGCATCTCCACGCCATTCTCCAAAGAAGCGCGTTGCAGCAAATCTTTCGCTTCCTGGAGGCGGCCTTTTGTTAGGAGCCATCGCGCGGATTCAGGAATAAACCTAAATTGGATCACCGTGTGAGTTGTAATATCTGATTGGAATTATATTCATTATGTAGAATATATATATATATATATATATATTATTTGTCTCGTACCACCAATAAACTAGAAACGCGATGCTCGGTACCGTAAGAGCTACCTGCAGCATTCTCCAATTGGTAATATTATACGCAAAAGCGGCCGTGAGTATGTATCCGACAGTGAAAAATAATTGAACGCCGACTCCGGCTACTAATCGCTTTTTCGGTCCAACCATCTCCAAAGCTGGAAGAGAAAGGTTTATATTACATTTTTATGCAACATTTAATATTTATTCAATCCAATTAAAATTTTCGACAAGCTCTCATATAATGTGTTGCCTTATGTTTTTTTTGCAGAGTGACAATATAATTGAATGTAATTACCTATGACATAAGCTACTAGGAACACCCCACTGGTGGTTGAACCGACAATTAGCCTGAAGATTACGTAGGAATAAAATTCGGGTGCTACAGCGACTAGTATACCGCCGACCAGCTGTATGACTAAAGACAGGAAGAAAATTGGTCTACGGCCATATTTATCGGATAAACCGCCGAATATCATCGAGCCAAGCATGACTCCTACCATGAACAACGCATCCCCCGTTGCTCTCAGCCACGCCCTGTCGCAGACCAAACCCCACTGCACAAAAAAAAACGGTATTATTTTTATCATCCTCAGAAATAGACATACATACATATATTTTTTTTAATTGTGTGTGTATGAATTCTGTCCATCTAGGATATTTTTATGAGACATATCTTATTTACAACAATTGCCGATAGAAAAATCGATAAGAGAACCCTATTTTGCGATGAGAGAACGGAACAATCTTATACCTCAGAAGTGGTTGTACTTTTGTACACGCTTCTATCGTACACATACTGCTTGCAACGGCTGGTCCCTCCTCCTCTGGCGTCGTCACCAATTACTTTTTCAACGATCGTCCCGTTCGCGGCGCCGATCACGTCGCGTTTCAGACACTGAGACCACCCTTCAAGTTCGTTGTCCCACGGATAGCTCGCGTTCAATATATCCTGGCTCAGATGGAACGTGGCGTTCTCCGCATACTCGTTTGGAAGTAAACATCTGAAACAAGATAACGATTCGATTTACCGTAAGTACATATGTTAACATCGTAATCTATCTTTGATAATTATTACGTTTCTCAAATTGCATACCTGGTATTCATTTTGGCACCGAGGAATACACCGGCTAATTTGTGAAAGGCACACGATATCACCGGAAGACAAAGCAGAAGGTAGACTCTGCGTTGATAGCGGCCAAATTCGCCCATATGAAGGACAACGTCGTCGTATGCCATTTTTCCGAGGTATGTTTTTGTTATTTATTCGACAATATCTTTTGCGTGAGTTTTTATTTGCACTTTTGTGAACGAAGATATATATATATATATATATATATATATAATAAATATTAGCTTTTAATTGGCGTGCGGATTAATAGCTTCGCTTAAGACAGCGACTGACAATCCGTTCTAACAATATTCTGTTGGTTTTGACATAATTATCTCATGTTACAGAGATTTTGTAAACATGATTTCATCTCCGGAGGAACACGTACAAGACTTCATTAGGACATTCCCATACGCCTTTTGAAGAATGCTTCTGATTTCTCAGCATTCAATCCAGAGATGATCGCTTATCAGCCTTCCAAATGCATCGATTTCTCGGCAGAGAACAGCGATAACTGAAAAAAAATTAGTATGTGATTAGATATTCATTTTTTATCTTAATATTTATACTATTTATTTGTTTTTTGTTTATATTTTTTTGCTTTCTTTTTTCATTTCCAAGAGCAAAAGTTATATGCAACAAGCAATTAAAAATAAATTAAAAAGGAATTTATAGATATGTTGAAAAAGCATCGTTCTACGATGAATCATCGAAGATTGATAATTTCTTATTCATATTATGTGGCAAATATATGTACATATATGCAAAAGCAATTAGATCTTCGTGCAAAAGAAAGAGAAGGGAAAAGAATTGATAAATTATAAAGTTTAATATCAAAATTTTTAAATCAAATATATTCACTTGTGCGCAGCGCTTTTAATATATAAAAAACCTGTAGATTAATTAAACTTAAACACCGAGAAGCGACCCGCTCGAATCGTGATTGATACAATTGATACAATTGTCTTTATATTAAGACTCGAAAGAAACTGATACTGCAAACGTTAGCATCACCAATGATCAATCGATCGTTATTTATATCGTTTACCACTTTTCTTTTTTCATTTGAATATTAAAATTCGTGTTGATTTATACATATATATACTTGACAAATTCTTTCATATATTTGTGAGTAAATTATTTGTGAATAATATACGATATATAAACTACAAAATATTTTTTCTCTAAGTAAAATGATATAAATAAATATTCTACATTTTTTCTGAAATTTCAAATTTATACATACTTTTATAGCTTAAATTAATGTATTAAATATAGATTTAAAATAGATTAAATATAGATTTAAAATAGATTAAATATATATTTAAAATAGATTAAATATAGATTTAACATATAATTAGCTAGCCATATATAAATCATGTATTGCCACATAATACAAAAAATAATATAATCAATTAATATTTGATAATTTATATTTTAATATTAAATCTTCGATAGAGAAAGAAAAAATATCAGATTAAAATATTCCGGCTACAATACATTAAATTTTCATTTGAAAATAAAGTGCGAAGCAAAAGTTCGGAAACATTTACGCAACGCTCGTACATATATAATGTATTCATGCGAGTCCCTTCTGACTTTACATAAAATTACAATATGAGCCACACTACATACAAAATTACGTGCTATCGCATGTTTCATCTATATCTGTCTCGAGTAATATTGCATGGAGATAATCGCACAAAAAGTGGTGGTCGTTGTAGATATCTAAATAAGGCAATATTTCGAGTAGTTTTTCGAAATGTAGTACGTACCCGCGGGAAATAAACGATATAAAATCGAGTCCGAACTCGCACTCGTCGCTCAAACACAACCCGACGCGCATCAAGGACGGACGGAAACTGGCCACATGCTTTAGCCGGCGCGGCGCGTCGCGATTCATTCTCGACTCGGCTGGACTCGGTTCGACTCGGCCCGACTCGGCCCCGCCATCTGATCCGTTCCAGCGGCGAGATTCGGCTCGACGCGTCGTGCACATCTTTACAAATGCAGAATGAGGAATTTCTTTTTTTCCTCCCCTTTCTTTTTTTCGTTGCACGGAGGGACGAATCTCGATCTGTCAAAATCGAACGCGACAACGATATTCGAGTGAGTAAAACAAACGCAAAAAGAAAGAAAAAACTCCGACGTTCTTTTAGGTTATTTATTTTGAATTCTTTCAATTCGGCGATTTAAATTGAACGAACGCAATAATTGATGATTTTTTTTATATCGTTTATCTATAAACGTCATCCTGGTTATTCCATATTGCTTATTTCTCGTTAATAAGAATAGATCGGAAATTAGAATTATTTATGTATTCATATGTTCTATTGTTTGCTATTCTTCCGCCGTTTGATTATACAATTGTAGTAATGAGTGCAGACATTAGACGGAAAATTCGTGTAACACTTCGTGTGCATGGTAGAATCTATTTTTAGATTATGCGTTATATAAAACTTATTAAAGAATCATGGAGCAAGGAAATAAGGCGCCATTTAATACGGCTTTTTTACATCATATATCGCATTCTTAGCGTACTGATTATACGTTCTGATATAAACTATCAGTGTTATTATAGTATACGCGTATTGAAAAATCACTCATGTTGCATGTACATATACATACGTACGACTCTTTCATGTGTACAATCTGATACGTATAATCATTCATATACGTTCATTCATATACGACGTACTACATTATCAGTTTAAAATATGGAATGCGATGTATGAGCAACCTTATATTATCTCTGTGGTCATCGGTATCACAGTTTTCCAAGATATTTTCTACGCGACCTTCGAGGGGTCGCTTATGTCAATCTATGTTCATAGTTGATAATGCATATGAGTTACAACTCTAATAAAATACGATTAACATTGCAAATATATTGCAAATGCGGCAAAATATAATTGTCTCATTTTCTTTTAATTTAACGAGAGTGCTGAGTATACTTTTTCTCGATAAGATTTTGTGATTTAAAATATTATATTAATATATTTAATAATTATATTAAATATATATTTAATAATTATATATTAATATTTAATAATTTAACAGATTCGCAAATTGAATATTTTCGTCTGGTAATTCGTAATTTGTTCAAATTATTTTTAAAATGCAAGAATTCTTTTTATAAAGGCAGATTAATTTGCGCGCGTACTTAATTGCATAATTTAGAAAAAAATGTAAAAAAAGTATGCAATAAATCGTACGCGCAAAACGCAGCCGTCCGCAATAATTAGCTGCAGTTCTAATCTTGTGCACTCCAAGTTTGTCACGACCTGACCGTCCCTTCCCGTACTTTCACTCCCCAGGAGAAGATGTATCGGTCGGCGTATACAAAAGGAATTTCTTTCCTCCCCCTTTCTGTGAATAAAAATTCCGATGCAGAACACGGATCTTATCCCCCGCGCGCATTCTTCCCATCTACCTGACCTAGGTATTCATATTAGCTGTTATTTATACTTTGCTTTTTTCCTTCCTAACGTATTTATTCGTTTCAGCGCGAAGGAATGCAGTTGGAGTCGCCTGGATGGATAAGAGGTGATTATTCGCACGCGACAGAAGTGATTGTTAGACGCATATGTTGCCGGTCCAGCCGTCACCGTTGGAGGCCGGCATCGCGGCCCGAGAAGGAACCCCGAAGGCTATTTATAGTAGGGAGCGGCTTCTAGTTCCCACCGCGTGAAAAATCGCAACTGGTTTCTTGCTCGCTTCTTGTTTGAGAAGCAGGATAGATGGAGGAGAGGAAAAGGCGAAAGAGAGACGGAAAGAATGGCTGGCGGGCATCTCAAGTATAAGTCGCCGGCGCTCAACATTAGCGGTTCCCTTTTGCGAATAATTCGAGGGAACGTCACCGCGAGAGTTTATTAAGACGCCAAGTCCACAGGTGCGTGAACTTTAAACGACATCGCTCGCATTTATTGTCGGAATTAATTGGTCTTATCATTGTTTCGTTATATCTTTACGCTCTGGTTAAATTTAATCGATATAGGAAGATTTTGTTGCGATATATATTTATAATTAATTAATTTATCAGCTGTTCAAATTGTCGAAGACGCAAATGGTTGCGTGTCAGAACCTGGTGATGGTCCGCGAACTCTCGACGTGTTTGTTAAGCGGCACCAGTAATTTAAACATACACTTTGATAAACGTAACTAGTCGCACTAACAAGGCGTTCAACAGGTTGCAAAATCATATATGTAAAAGCTTATCGAGTTTGCATAGCTCGCATACTTACGCGCAAAAAAAAATCGATCAATCTAGGTCGACTTTTGCTTAATGCGCGAAGGATGTTATATTCCTATGTTGTTAGACGTGTAATTGATTTCCTTTTTCTATACACCTATGTGTTTATGTAGGTATTCAAATTTATCTGGAAAAATCTTACAAAGATTTTGCTTTTTCTAGTGGACACAGCCGATGAAGGGGATGAAGGGGATGAAGGGAGTTACTCGGGGAAAGTGGCAGAAGGAAGATGAAAAAGACAGGCATTGTCTGAACATGCCGAATGGCAAGGCGAGATGAAAAAGTCCAAATTGTTCCTCTTTTTTCCGGTAAAAATATGTGCGACTCATGTCTACCTTATATTTTTCTGATATCTGATGTTATCGGTTGCATATGTATAACCATGAGCGTCCGCAAAATTTTTTTCAGAGGGGGCATGATTACAGTTTTTCTTATTTTTTTGTTCTTTTTTAATTAAAAGAATTTTTTTATATTTTTTATATTAAATATGCAAACGAATTTCCAGTGTTTATTCAAAAGGAGAACAAATACTTAATTTTTTTACTGATTCCAAGGGGAGGTAAATGCCCCCTCTGCCTCCCCTTGCGGACGCTCGTGTATAACTATAAAATAAGAACAAATAATATAATTCATTTTTGAAGAAGTATTCTATTTATTGTTTATTTATTTATTTACGTGTGACACGATTTCCGATATCGGCATGGGCGTATTTTTTCACAAGAAAATTATATAATTTATAAATATTATATAAAATATTAAATATTATATAAAAAATTAAATAGTAATATAAAGTAAGAACGTAGATATTTGAGAATCGCCAGACAGAATTTAAAAAAGGTAAAATTCTTTTCTCGACCGTACAGTAATATAAAGTATTCAATCAATAATACTAAAGTTATTCAATTATAATTTGTACTTAAAATACTTTCAGCAAGCACGATGGATAGAATTAAACGAATCATCGTCACAAGTGCGCTTGAGAAATATGCCTAGTCTGGAAGATGAGAGATCGATAAAGTGCACGTCCATAGGAAAATGGATTAAGAATGCGCGAGCTACAGACGCTTATAATGTTAAAAAGACCACTGTCTGTGTATATACATATACAAGGACATATGCATGTTGTTTTACCTCGGTCTCGCTTCGTCTGTAATAATCTCGCCACGAAGACATAAGGAAAGTGAGTATTTGCCTAATCTAGATTTCTTCCTCTCTCTGTCTCTTCTCAATTTTTCATTGTACATGCAACTATGTCGTTTTTAGAACGTAAAGTGAATTATGTGTCTCCTCTAATATAAAAGAACAAATTTTAATATTTATTACAGTTGCAGTGGAATAATTTAGATTTTATCGTATCATTTTATACATATATACATATATTGAATAATTTTGAAAATAATGCAGAAAAAAGTATAGGCTAAATATATGCTGCATTTTTTCAGTTTCATATTTTTTGTTGAATTATCGGGAATTTAATTAATTTCTATTTTCAAACACAAGAATTCATGTACAAGTTAGTTTCTTATTATGATTATTGCGAAAGCGCATTGCTAATTTACAAACAAACGATGCATTCCGCGACTTTGCAGCTTCGTACGTGAGCGATTCTCTTGCATAAGAAATAAAACTCTGTTGTAAGAATTTAAGATAAAAAAAACATACGCGAAAAATACACAGTTTTGTATCTCTGCAAATATTATCTTATTACGTACTTGTTATGTCATATATTTTTAAATCTTGCAAATTTACATCTATTTATCCAGCGCAAACTATGTTTCGTGAATTTTAAATTTATTTTTTAAAAATTTTATTTAAATTTTAATTGATTTAAAAACTATGTATACGAAAATCTATGTATTCGTTATTTATATATTCTGTACAAATAACTGATTTTTTATATTATTTTATTTAATATATTTTATATTATTATTTATATAATTTATTTAAAGTTGTTATGGAAAGAGCTTTAACATTGCAAATACGTAAACTGATGTTTGAAAACAAGTTTATTCCGACGTGAATTTTTATTTTTGTTAAAATAAATGACCGAAAACTGTCCTACATATTTATATTGTAGACTAAAGATAAAGATTGTGTATGACGTTAATATGAGTTGAGAATTTTTTAGCACCAAATGTAGAATACGAAATGCACATAGCGTTCATTCATCATACAATGATAAATATTACCGAGTCACTATTACTACCTACTTCCATTTTTTTCTGTCACAAATTCAAGCAAGCGTTTCTCCGTTTGCATGCTAAAAAACTAAGTCCTTGAAATTATTTTTTGCGGTGTATTATCATGCATAACACAATAGAGTATCGCATAATAAGTGGACTTCCGTCAAAATAAGTTACGGTAATATGTAATATGAGATGTGTAATATTGTTTCTTTCGTTCAAGGTAATTAATCGGTCGTTGAACATGTCAGTCAAGACAAAGCGAAGAGATTCTTTGAACCGATTCGAATCCAAGGAATCCAATGAGGAAACAACCCGGCGGAGTATCATTCAAGTTCAACGAGCGACGAGGGACCACGAGACGCCCGTCGTGAATCACGTGAGCGGCGCGATTCGAATCGTTAAATACGTGGTCGACTGAACACAATCGGCGGGACGCTACGACAGAGGCCGCATTGTAATTCGATTGAGAAAAATGAGGATGACTAATGTAATTACCCGTTCTAAGTGCCGCACGTTCCCACGGTCGATCACGGATGAATCTGTAAACCGTGTGATTTTATCAACGGCCCGCCGTACGTTCCAGCTTCCCGTATACGAGGCACACAACGAGGACCCGGTGCACGCGTTATGCCGGCCGGCCGCTGATGGTCGCTCCCGCCGTAGCACTGCCGATCGATAAGTTTCGTCGAAGGAAAGGCGTCGCTATACTAGACGGAATGATATTCACACTCTGCACATCCGTTCGATCGAGTCGCGCGTTCACCTTTCTCTCTTGTCATTAGAATTGAATGAGAATTTGGAGGGGAACGCGTGGGATTACCGACGCGTATCGAGCGGACACGTGTACTTCGGTCGCGAGGTTCGCGCTAGCTAGCACCAGCTAGCAGGATGTCGAGGCACGCGACACCGGGGACACGACGTCGTCAGGGAGCTGGAGGAGGGAGGTTCTCTCGGCGCCGGCGCCAGAGTCGCGTTCGAAAACCGAAGCAGCCTCGCGCATTCGCCACCGGGTGGCAGGTTCGCGTTATCGATAACGCCTCTCTCTCTTCTCTCCTTTCAAATATGATGATGATATAATTGTCATTTCCTTCGGCTCCCTTTATCTCTCGATTCCTTTCAATTAAGGTCTTTCGGCGAATCCTTCGATGAATCCATCCGAGGCTCAACCTTCAATCTGTTTATACGTCTATATAATTTACGTTCGCGTTCTTTCATATCGTAAATGCCTTTTCTGTTACACATTTGATTGAGTCCACATATGCTTCGCACATAGAACGATAAACGTTGCTCGAGTTATTCGCGATTGGATTATGCGAGATTAAAGAATTGTAATTGTAATTGTGAATTGCGGCACTTACTACATGACGCTATCACCGTTATAACGCGTGTATCACGATTTATCATTGCATCATACACGTGCCGCTTATGAGAGAAATTTGTATACAATTTATAAATATATGCATGTATATAGAGTAAAAAAAGAATGTAAAACGTTTTTTAATTTCTATTTTTTATATCGACAACAGTGACTTTATGCAATTCGTTGCGTATATATTCCTGTTGCGATTCGCGATGATCAATTCAATCTCGTCAAATTGTTCGAACCGTTTGATCTAATTCATATCAATCAATAGATTTATATATAGAATTATATCAGCCACGTGTCCATTCAAAGTACTTATCATCAACTTCTATATACACGTGTATATATATATATACGTCTGCGATTATCACGCGTCAACTGTATGCATACATTTTTGAAAGAAAAAAAAAAGAAACAAACATGGATAGTGATTATGAAATTTATAATTGTATACATATTTTTGACGCGCCAATTTTATATCGATGGAATTGCGAAAGATCATGCGACACTTAAATGAACCGATTTAACTCTACGAAAAGGAAACCAACTGTCTTTCCTCCAACATTTATCATGAAGATTTGCGATAAAGAAAATTAGTTCGTCGAAAGTTTTCACTGTGCATGCAGAGACATATATGTACAATAACTCTTCGTCGTCACAAACTTGTTTAATATAATTTACAAGTAGTGCGAGCACACTTTCGCGAAAGTTTACAATACCTCCGAAAGCGATCCGCGTCGGTTTGCAAAACGTTCGCGCGGATTTAACTGCCGGTGGTGATACGCGGATTTGCAATTTCCAGCTCGTGCATGTGAATGCATATATGCCTGTGCATGATAGGAATATCTATCAAGGACGCATGACCCCCTTCCTCTACCCCCTTCCTCAACGGGTACTCGTAATTTGGTATAATTCGTATATTACTACCCGTCGTCTCTATACTCCTTCAAGTCGTCAGACTGAAAGCTTGATTCCTCGAGAGAGATCTATTGTGTTGAGCCGCTATTCATCTTCGATCGACTGAAAGCATACTTAATATTTTAATAGTTTATCCGTTGATGAACGGGGAATAAGAGAGGCACTTTTTATTTTAATATTTTTAAGGATGTACAGAAGATTCAAACAGAGATGAAAGTATATTAACGCTATTCATTTTAGAGAAAATCGTTATAGTTTAAGTAATCGCCTAACTTGACACGAAATGCTCAGAAATAGAAAAAATTTCAACAAATTATTATTTTCTTTTAAATGGTTCAATGAATGCTAATATATGTATAATTTTGCGACATTGTTCTTTAAAGTTCCAATTTACATATATGTGAAAAATTTGATGTACATGGTATACCATTTTTTCGATATTTTTAATGTAATAATAATGGATTATTATATGTAAAACTAGCGGAAATTTAAATTGCAATAACTTTTAAATGAGTTAGTGAATTAAATCCAAATTTCAACAGTAACTTTAGTTTCAAAGTGAAAGCGCTATATAATTTTTATGAAGTTTCAAATGTCTTCCATACATCATTAACAATAAGAAATTTGATAAAAGTTGTTAATGATCGAAAGATAGAAATTATAATTTGAGTTGAAATATTTTCTCTAAAAAAACCGCGTTTACAAGCTTTTAATTTTACAATTTGAAATAATCGAATGGAAACGTTTCAACACCAGAATCATATCGTAGCTCAAATTTCCCTCGCAATTATCGCCTGTATTTCGATCTGCGTATCATTCTACATTTTTACATTTTTCTCGACAAATCAACATATCTCCTCGAATAATAAAAATATAAAGATACGCGTGTATAGTCACTTCCGGTGATTTTTAATCATTCGGGGTTGCGGGTGAAAAAAAAATCTTTCGCGCAAGGAAGCAATATAACGATCTTCGTCGAGGATCATAGAATCGCAGTCTCTGAGGCGGGATATCGATTCTCGCCGAAGAGTTCCGAGGCGTGCCGAGCTCGGGAAAGTGACGTACACGAGTGAGAGAGAGTGCACCGAGCGGTGGTGAAGCTGGGTGAAGCTGATTGTGTGGTCAGTGGTGATTCACTTGTGTGCGGATTGACTCTGGGGGAGAGACTCCGGTGCGTCCGTTGTGTATCCGACGTGTTGCGCGTCTCCGGGAGCCGCGGACCGAAAATTCTTCTCGCATTTTTACGCGCGCAACAGGGCGAGAGAGAAAGATTACGTCCGCGCTCGGCGGACAGTTTGACAGTTGACATTAAGCGACACGGACGTGTTCGGGTAGGCCCAGACGGGCAGTAGGCGAATACATTGACTATATACGCGACATGAACTAGGACGGTGGACGACGAACGACACATCGCAGGTCAAGATAGACGAAACGAGGGGAAGGGAGGGGGAGGGGACGATTGATGGTTATTCGTGATTTGTACGATGGGAATATATATATGCATGCGTAGGTCATGAATCCCATTCGGGATTGATCCAGTAGCGTCTCGTGAGGCATTTCGACCTGGCAAATTTTCTTTTACGTGTCAATCTATTTTTTTCAATCTATTAAATTCGTTTTGCCGCGATAAAATGCCAGATCGTTGTTTTTCGAGCCAATCGATGACTCGAATTGAATTGATATAATCACCCTTGATTTTCTCGACGATTTTTCTCCTATTAACAGATAGATCTTGTAATTGTAAAGCCGTCTCGAAGCGAAGATCGATCACCGTGACCTAACCTAGTCTAATCTTGAAGGCGTAAACTCATCGTAACTCGGCCACCGAACGCGAGATTCTAGTTGTAAGGAATATCGTCTCGAATATCGCACAAGCGAACGCCACTCTTTCAAAATGGTTACTCCACAAACTCCAGGTGATTTGTTTTATATTTTCTATTTTTTTTTCCTCTCGCTTTCTCGTGTCATTGCATCGGTGCATTGACGTTCCTGCATCTGTCATTGTCCGACAAATTACGTTTATCATTTCTGTCATCTGTAATAGACATTCCATGCTTGATATCTCTCTTCCTCCTCGCGATAATTTGTTTATTTCGTAAGACTGGCAATTATTCTAAGCTGTGAAAAGAAAATAAGCATTATTTTCACAAATAAATGGATTGTATTTTTTATATTACATTAAGAGGAAGATATCATCTTTAATGTTATATATCTGACATATAGGTATAGACCCCTGGGTAATACAACCTAGAGAAAGAATGAAGTATCAAGAACAATTTGACTCCTTGAAACCAATCAATGGATCGTTACTGGCGAACAGGCAAAGGGATTTCTCCTTAGATCTCAACTTCCACCTCCCATTCTCGGACAGATATGGTATAAAGTTGTTACATTTAATGTCAACATTGTTTTAAATTATAATGCACTTTCTAATCTCTTGTTTATATATAGGGCATTATCGATACAGATTCTGATGGAAAAATGAACATAAATGAGTTCAGCATTGCGTGCAAGTTGATCAATTGAAATTACGAGGTTTTGAAATTCCCAAAGTACTGCCACCCATTCTCATACAGAGTTTGAAATCCTTCCCAACAGGTAGATATATCTATGCATGTATGATACCAAAGATTATATTATTAGATTGATTGTGATTAAGATTAATGAATGATTTTTAGGTGATGCTAACTTGCTGCTGGATTGACAAATGGTTCAACCGCTCAAAATAATATTGGCTCTCTAGTAAACTTAGGTGGACCTCAACCAATAGCACCTCCTCAAACTGTAGCAAGCGCAGTATCCACAGCTGGAAATACACATTCTCTATAGGTAATATACAATTAAATATTTTCATTATATTTATCCTTCTCTGTTTCTCGATCAACATTGTTAGATAGATGCTTATAACAATTCAATAAAATAACAGGAAAAGATCTTATAAAAGCTTTTACAAGCATTTATAAGTATACCCAAATATATACACTTTCTCAAACATATTAGTGTGGTTCATTAGCTGCAGATAGATCTATCAAACATGATCAATATTACTGATGTTCAACCAAACCTATATTATTACAATCATCTATCATTTTCATAAATTCAACATGTATTACATGTGTCAATATATGTGTTTTATTATCTTATCAACAAAATCAGACATAATTATGTGTCACTCATAATGCATCATACTACACAGCATTACAACAAAATAGACAGAATGTGGCCCCAAGTACACTCGCCACAACTCATATACCGTCTAAGCCACCCGCTCGACCCGCTCCACCTTCTGTGGGTATGTTAACTGTGCTGAACTGTTGAGTGTTTCTTATCAGTCTATTTATCTTTTCTTTTCTAAAGAGCAAGCTTTTATTCAATGGCTTAACAGAATGTTCCGAGTTAAATACCATTTTCGAGTTAAATGCTACTTTAGTTCTTAACATTTTATTAAGATGAACTTTCTCTTAGCTTGTGGTATATTTGTTGCATTTTAAATATATCCTTTTGGAATGTATTTTTACAAATATATCGTGTATTTTTATTAAAGGGTATTACAATTTTATGAAATAACTATAATTTGTTTAATGTATGTGTATAATGTATGTGTGTGTGTGTGTGTGCGAAGCAGATGCTTCATGCACAGCTTATTTTGATATAAAAATTTCCAAAATTTATGTAACACTTTATATTGAAGCAGCAATTCAATTTTTGCATTTTCAAGCTATGAACATTTTTTATCTTTATAATATTTCCTTTGTATTACACATGTAGGTATGCGTTGGACTTTGCGATGATAAAATTCTTGACAAATGTACTTGTTAGAAGTGTGAAAGGAAAAACTCATGCATCATATACATATAATTATATATACTATTTTAATATTATTTATACTTTGCATGACTTTTTGATATTTTCTATATATTCGGAAAAATTATCATAAATGCTTGGACATAGAAGTAAATCTAATTAGATTAATAATTCTATTATTTATAAATTAGAAAATTCATACACACTTTTAATCAGAATTTTTATTTGCTAATATAAGGTTATTTTATTAATTATATACATACAGTTTATACAACTAATATATCTATATATCGTTTATACTTGTAATAATATTTCTGACGAAAGAGAAGGAAATAATATTTCGTTAATAATGTTTTACATTTTATTACGCGGCAAAAAAAAGGAGTCGCGCCTTTTCTCAGTACCACAACTAGTGGTCCTCCGCAAAGACCTGCACCACCTGCAAGTATTGGTATGTTTAAATAAATATACACGTTTACATCACAAACCCATTGTATATGTAAACCTTGTGTACAAAGTTTTTGTACTGAATCTCATTGTATTGCTTAATATTATTAATATGCTATGAAAAAAGCATAAAGTACTTATAAAAGAATTCTGCTTATGCTTACTTAATTATCTTTTATTTATATTTATTGTATAATTTATAGAGCAAACATAAAGAATTGTTTGGATTATGAATTTATAACTGTTTTAATGCAATTCAACAATGTTATAATAATTATACGAAATTATTATAGGTAGTAACTTTGCGGCCACGACGAGTGGTCCACCACCAAAACCAGCACCACCATCATTTCCAAATAGTCCTGTAGGAATCTCACCCATGAAAGTTACACCTCCTGGTGTTGGTACAACTGTAGTTTCTTCAATCCCACCTGTTTCTGGTATAGGTAAACTATTGAAATAAATTTTATGTTGAAATTGTGTACATTTTAAAATATTTTATTAATTAATTTTTATTATATAATAATGCATTTTATAATTATATTTTTACAAAATTGTACTGATATATATTTAATCTTTTATTAATTACAGGTATTCCATCAGTAGCACCAATTGCACCTTTAAATACAAACCCTGTTCCAATGGCTGCCTTTAGTATGACACAATCATTGCCGACACAGCCATTAGGCATAGTTAACACAGGTATGGTTGCTCCTATAACTGGTGTCCCTGGCATGGTACCATCCATCGGATCAATAAATACTGGTACGTGTGCAAAACAATGTTTCTCTTGTACTTGTATTTTTAATTATTATATTAATTTTGATTTTCTTCCACAGGTACTGGACTTGCTTCTTCAGTAGCGTTACCATTGGTATCCTCGACAACTGCAAACGGCGCACTAGTCAATGGCGCCATTACACAGACGCCGGTATCTACAAATACACCCTTGAGTACAACAGCACGTCCACCGAGTATAGATAGAGTGGGTTCCGTGGATTCACCGCACTCGTTAGTTGGTTCGCCACAATCCACGGTGGAATGGGCGGTACCGCATCAGACCAAATTAAAATACACTCAGTTATTTAATACTTGGGATAGAACGAGATCTGGCTTTCTATCCGGGCCTCAAGCAAGAAACATCATGGTGCAATCGCAATTGCCACAACCGATACTTGCTCAAATATGGTATAGTTGCAAAATATTTAATCGTAAAACAAATGCATAATACAAAAGAGCATTCTATGTTAGTTGTAATAAGTTATAAAATGGGAATGTAAAGAGTATTGAAATGTATGTTGATAGGACTTTATCTGACATGGATTCGGATGGACGCTTAGGTTCTGAGGAATTTGTGCTTGCGATGCATCTATGCGATATCGCTAAGCAGGCGAAACGATACCTGCGGCACTTCCACTGGAACTAATTCCACCCACATTTAGACGACAACGTCAAAGTAGTTTAACTGCTCAGAACGCAGCGGAAAATATTGATCCGTTAGCAGGCATGCCACAGGTACGGCTAATAATATAAGAAATCTTTTTGCGCAATAAGAAAAACATATGAAAAAAAAGAATATTATTTTACAGACTTCATTTGAAGATAAACGTAAAGAGAACTTTGAGAAAGGTCAAGCGGAATTGGAACGTAGGCGTAAAGCGTTGTTGGAAATTCAGCGAAAAGAACAAGAAGAACGAGAACGAAAGAGAGAGGGAGGAGGCTGAAAAACAGGAAAAAATAAGGTAAATAGAATTATTTATTAATTAGGTAATATATTATTTATTAATTAGGTAATAATATAGGAAAAATATTGCATTCTAATACAGATTAGAGCAGGAAAGGCGTAGGCAAGCAGAAATTGAGAAACAAATGCAGAGACAAAAAGAAATCGAGCAGGAGAAGGAGGAACAACGGAAACGCGCGCAAGAACAGAAAGAGGCGGCACGCAAGTAAATTCATTAAGCTTTCTTAGAGAAATTTATATATTTATGTATACAGATTTGGAAGTAGCATTGTTTTATAACTTGCAGGGAAATGGAAAGGCAACGACAATTGGAATGGGAACGACAGAAGTCGCAAGAATTGCAAGCGCAAAGACAGAAGGAGCAAGATGTTCTTCTAAAATTGAAAGCAAAGAATCAGACCTTGACCATTGAACTTGGAACACTTGTAAGTATATTATAAGAGAATTTAATGAACAATTCTTTTATAATATTTTTCTCTGCTTTTCAGAACGACAAAGTGAAAGAATTATCACAAAAAATTTGTGATACTCGGGTAGGAGTCTCAGGCGTCAAGACGACTATCGATGGTATGCGTTCAACGAGAGATGCACAATTACAGGAAATGGCCGCCTTAAAGAATAAACTTCGGGAACAAAATCAAAGATTATTAGCGTTGAGCCAGGAGAAAGCGCGTATCGAGGCGAAGAATAAACTCAACGCAGCGCAAGATGCAGCTGGACAAGAGGCTATTAAGATGGCCTTTGACAATAAACAAATTACTCTTAAGCAGATGAAAGATAAAATTGCAGATTTACAACAGCAGGTATGCGTCCCTAACGTTCGACGATGATACATGAATAAATTTTAGCTTTAGGCAATATGTACATATATATCGACGTCCTAAAATATATTTT